ACACCCGCTAAGGAAACTGATCCAAGCAGAGCCACAATGATGGAGACTAGATGCCACATATCAGACAGGGAAACGAGATGCTTCCTTTCTTATTGCTGCTTTCGTGAGTGACCCCAAGCCCAGAATAAGTCTTGCTGGGTCTAGAGGAAGAGTGGCCGTGTTCCACTGGAGGCCAAAAAGAGTCAGCTCTGTACCTTTCCAGTGCAGGCTACCACGTTCCTTAAATCCTGGCTTCTCTCACCATGTTCAGAGTCAGCAGCACCATGCTTTCATCTCTTGCCTCTTTCCTTTGCTGGGGAATACTCCCATGGTCACAGGGGGCTTTTTAGATAACCCTGGGACCTTCCACTGAATCCTTGATCAGATGATTTCTACAGAGTCTCCTTTGCTGTTTGAGATAACACGTCCAATGGCCTGGGATTAGGAAGGGGCGTGTTGGAGGCTTTGAATCTGCCTCCTATGGCTGGAGAACCGCAAACCCTCCCTGTGGGAACGATCACACTGGGCTGGACTAAGGCTTTGCTAGGTTTCAATGCAGAAGTCCTTGGCACGGGTGGGAGCTATAGGCGGCAGGCTGCCATGCAGAGCATGAAAGGATACTTTGTTTTTGTCCTTGGTTTGGTTACTTGTTTTTAAGAAAGAGTCAAGATCTGCTTGGCTGCTTCCAGTCCTTGCTCCCCACCGAGGAGCGATCAAGCATCAGGACTCAACTAAGGAAGACTTTTCTCTGTGCAGAGCTGTTACCCAAACTATGGTCCCGACACCTCATCGTTGCACAGCGAGGGCTGTGCAAGGGAGGGCCAGGGTGCACAGTGCTCTAAGAGATCCAAGAGGTTCCCCAAGCCTGTGTTTGTCCTAAATCCCTTTGGTAGGTTGCAAGTCAACATTTTAGCAGAGAATACCTTTGTCAAAGAAGGACCAATGGCCAAATTTCTTCCACACCATCTCCTCTACCTACAAATCAGCTGAGAAGAACCCAAGCCAAGGATGAATCTAAACTTGAGCACCAAAAGGGGACCAAAAAAAAAAAAAAAAAAAAAAAAGATACTGACATCCTTTCTCTTTTCATATCACACAGAAAGTCAATTGATGCAACTTGGATTTCTGTCTTCCGGGGGTCTGGCCGCTTCAGCCAGGTATTTCTGGGGGAGAGAAAGGGGGCTTTGGCAGTGGGGTATCTGGACACAGGAGAGACATAGAAAAGGCTTGCTTAGACCTCCCATACACCTGTTGTCTCTGAGTCACTTTACTGGCCCTGTCTCGAGGGTGGAGGGAGGGAATAGAGCAGACACAAGTTTGCCATCCTGGTGAGCAGTGACGGGGGACTCCTCCCTGCCTGAGAGCTTCTGTGAGAACGACACTTGTATTTGCCTTACCATCTTCCACCCTGGGAAGAATGGAGAAACTGAGTCAGTGGAGAGCTGTGGGCCTTGGTTCCTGCTAGGTAGGGAGCAGCCTGTAGCTGCTGTCAGCAATGGCCCCACCCTTAAAATCCTTCCTTTCTCTCCTGACCTTCCTTCCTTACTTCCTCTCCATTTCTCCTTCCTTCCTTCCTTCCTTCCTTCTTTTTTTTTCATAACAGGGTTTCTCTGTGTTGCTTTGGAGCCTGTCCTGGAACTAGCTCTTGTAGACCAGGCTGGCCTCGAACTCAGAGATCTGCCTACCTCTGCCTCCCGAGTGCTGGGATTAAAGACGTGTGCCACCACCACCTGGCCCATTTTTCTTTTTATATTCTGATTTTCTCTTCATCAAAAGCCAAGTCCTCCCCTCCTCCCAAGTAATATTCAGCTCTCAGGGTACTCATTTCATACTTGAAGGACTAGAGCCCCTAGATCAATATAGCTAGGAGTGTTCCCTTGACAGACAGGCCTCTGTATCAGCTAGTCTGGTCCATGCCCAGAGAAGAGGGAGTGTGCATTTGGTAGCTAGGAGACTGTTGATCCCATGACAGCTCTCCTGTCACCAAAGAAACTCACTCCTCCACTCTGAACCTCGTGTTCTTCTCAGCCATAAAGAGGACTAATACTGACTATCTCCTGGTTGGTTGTAAGGGACAACTGGGATCACAGTGGAGGGTGTGCTTAATGGTCACTAAAGGTACATTGGCTGCACAGCCCCTGATATACAGAGCTCTCCCAAGCGCTGGATTTAGAAACACCAGGGCCAGTGCTGACTAATCAAGCCCAGGGATCACTGGCACCGTGGTCAAGCAAGCAGGTACGGGGCGGAGGGCTGGGCTGAGGGTCACTGGGCGGAGGCTGCTCATTGTTTTCTCCCCTCGGGTGTCACCCTCTCACTCCAGACCAGCCATTGGACTCAATTAATGTTTGTTTCTCTACGATGCTGATGGATCATCCTGTAACATTCCAGGGCCTAATAAGGGGTTGCAGGCTGCTGGGTAGTGAGTCCTGGAATCTCCCTGCCTGCGGCACACCCTGGAAGGATGGTGAGCTTTAAAGGCTGGGAAGCCCAGAGAAACTTCCCTCAAAACAGACAGAGTCAGTTCCAGCATCAGCAGGGGCTCAGATCCCCATCTACTGAGGTTCTAGGAAGGTAAGCCACACCCCCCCACACACAAAGGGAGGCTGGGGTAGATGGAAGGCATCCTACAGGAGGGACCCAGGGCAAGGAGGATCTGAGTCTTCCCAGAAGACAGGGAACCTTCCAGAACTAGAGTTAGAAGAGAAGCAGATAGACTTCACACAGGTATGGCCTCCCTTTCCCAGGACCACATGTGGATTCCAAGGGCCGCATCTGGATGGTAGTAAAAAGAACTGAGGTGGTGTAAGGCCCGGTGTCACAGGCAGAGGAGAGGGTCATCAAGGGACTTCATATCCCGGCAAGTTTATGACACAGAACAGTTGAGGGAGTGGTAGGTGCGGAGTAAGCCGCAGTCAGTGTGGGTAGAGAGATGCCACCTTCCTAAGGGAACGTCATGGAGGGCTGAACACAGGTATGAGACGGGAGGACGAAAGCCAGGGAGTTATTTGAAAGCTAGCGTGGAACAGCGGCTTCTGCTTCCAGACGAAGGGAACGGGAAAAGAAGCAAGTTATTTAAAGAGATGACAAAACTTGGACAAAACTCCATAAACAACAACAAAACAAAGCCCCAACCCCTGGGCACACGTGACAGGGAAGCTGCATCCTTGAGCTCTCAACACGGGGGTCACCTGGACCAGACAGCACAATGACATCACCAGTTGACATGCCAACATGAACGGGGGAATTCACCAGGTCCTGCCCTAGATGGAAAGATGCAGGTGGTGATGGTTGGTGAGAGACTGGGGGGCAAGGAGGTGTCCATTTCCTTTGGCAACCACCTTCCACATAGGTTGTCACATCCAAGGTGGTCAGATCCGGACATGTCCATACAAGTAACACTAAACAGAGGCACACACACGCGCGCACACACACACACACACACACACTTAAAGAAGATGTCATGATTTTGGGAGGGATCCAGAAAGGCACAGGAGGAGCTGGAGGAGGGAGGAGTGGTGTGGATGAAGTTCTTAGAAAGAAGAATAGCGAACAAAACCAGCTTGCTATCCGAGTGGCCGAAAACAAACCTTGCCCTCAAAGACTCCTTCACATGTGCACAGAGCTCCCAAAGTCAGTTATTTTTCTTGCTTCAGTTTTAAAATATGGAGTAAAATAGCCAAGGGTTCGAGAGGAATAAAAAAATATAAGTTTAAAGGATCTTTTAAAGCTCGAAACTGATAAGCGTTCAGAGCCTGAGAAAACTTGAAAATGCAGGCATAAACATTTATAAAATCATCTACCATTTGACCATACCAAAGGAGAAAGACTAAAGCATCTTGGTAGACGTGACAAAATCTGCTAAAATTCAACATCCTCTCATGATTTAAAAGTACTCAGCAAACCAGAGCTTGAAAGGACCCATTTACAGAGAAGAACGTCAGTCAGGAAATTAAGATGCAGTTTGGGGCCACTTACTGTGAAGATGATAGCTATTGGTTAGCCAGTGCAGACAAGGTTTTTAAATGTAAAAATAAGTAAATGTTGAGTATAAAGTTTTAATAAGAAGCAGCAGTTGTTGGGGTTATTGCCAGCCATAAAATAGTCATGTGTAAGGGATGGGGTCATAGGTCAGTGGTGGAGACCTCGCCTAGCATGTACAAGGTTCTGAGATCTGACAGGAACCTCGAAGAAAAAATAAATGACAATACCACACACAAACAACAAAAACAGGACAAAACCAATAAAAGCCATAATTGAAAGAAGATATTTACAACACATGCATCTTATAGAAGATTAGTGTCCACATGTAAAAAAAATTCATGGAAATCAATAAGAAAAAGACAAAATGAGTCAGTGTAAATTGATCAGTGTGTGTGCAGATCATTTCCAGAAAAAGAAATCTCAAGTGTTTAAAAAACATTTTAAGATAACTGAATTTCATTACTTGCCAGGAAACCAAGATCAAGCAGCAACGAGAAACTATTTTAGGGTCATGGAAGTGACTCGGTGGTAAAGAGGCTTGCCCAGTGATCCCTAAAACCCACATAAAGGCGGAAGGAGAGAACAGATTCCGCAAACTGTCCTCAGACCTCCACATGCACACAGTGGCATGCACATGGGAACACACACACACATACATACACACACACGAGCACACACTGAGATAATACACTTCTAAAGAAGCTATTTTATACCTACCAGATTCACTAAAATATAAAAAATCTGACATTAACATGAGCTGCAGGGTATAACCACTATAAAAGAAAGGGAGGGAGAGAGAGAAGAAGAGGTAGTCAAGTGAGTTGGTGTATATACCTTAATCCCAATGCTGGGTAGGCAAGTGGACCCCTAGGAGTTCAAGGCTAGCCTGATCTACACAGTGATCTACACTAGTTCAGGAAAAGCTGAAGACCATTGTATGTAGGTTAGCATCGTTAAGGTAAAAACTGAAAACACATAGAAGGATGAAAACACATTTATTAAGTAACTTTATTGCTTGATAAAGAGAAAAGGGAATAAAGTCGAGGAAGCGATTACACAGGGCTTCCAACATAATCTGTTGGTTTTGACACTGTTTAAAAATTGAATCAAGTGCTAGGCAGTGCTGACGCACGTCTTTAATCCCAGCACTCAGGAGGCAGACGCAGGCAGATCTCTGTGAGTTTGAGGCCATTCAAAGAGAGAAGTCTGAATACGTCATGAAGCTGGCTGAAATGTCTGAAGCTGTCCTCCACACTTTGGTTCTGAATGTCCTGGAGTTGGGACAACCTCACGGCTGGTAGGACCCCAGGGAAGAACCCCGTAGAAGTGAAGGGGCATTTTGTTTCACCCCTGGCTTTGCCTCTCTACTTTCCAGAGAGCTTGGTATAGAATAGTAAATCAATTTGCCAAATGAACCACACATGAAGAGACAGGGAGACACATTAGAACACGTGGGCTCTAAACTAGCTCATCAAAACAGCTGCCACTGGGCCCCAGAGACCAACCCACTGTCTTTATCTATTACCTCAAAGCAGGGACAACTCTTACCCTCATCCTACAGGTGAACAAAACAGGCTTCATGGGAGAAAGCGTGCCCCAGAGAATAGTGGTTAGAGAGTCCGCATTTCACACACACACACACACACACACACACACTTCTGGATTTTTAAGTTAGAAGTGGCTCCGGTACCCTAAATTAACACACAGGACCAGACTGAGGGTGGTGGTTCCCAGCACCCGAGAAGCAACACATACAGGAAGCACACAGTGAGAAAAAGGGAGGGCGTCACCAAGGAGGCGATAGTTGAAGCTGGTGTTGAAGAAGTACATGCAGACAGATTTCAGGATCCAGCTCTTTCTCCACCACGAGCCCTGATGGCATTGGGAGGATCCACGGCTGTGGCCTGTGAGCAGAACCCAAGCGCACAGGACTGAGATCACAGATACAGACAGATAGATATAACTGGTTTGGATATAACCTTCTGTTTGAGAAAGTTTACTCTTTTATATACAGAGGGGGTAAATATCTTCTTTAAAAATCATGATGCCTGCTGAGTGTGGCAGCCCAAGCCCTATAACCCCAGAGCTCAGACAGGATGATCTCAAGTTCAGAAGCAGCCTGGGCTGCAGGGTTACACAGTGTCTCAGAAATAAAGAGGGTGTGGGACGAGAATGGAACTGTATACTCTTTAGTAGGGACTATGGTTCCTGGAGCAGTTTCTGTACGCAGGGCACTGGGTTAAGTCTTTGTGGGTTTTATTACCTTTAAGTCTCACACCAGCCCTGTGAGGCTGGCACTGTTTTGTCCCCTTTCAGGGATGAGGAAACCCAGGCTTACAAAATGTGTGTACAAAGTCCTCAGGGGTTAGTACACGGGGACACCGAGACAGAAGCTGCAGTTGTCAGTTCCCAGTGCATGTGTTTAACCACTGCCTCTCCCAAGCACAGACAGCCAATTAAGGCAACAAGGGTTTAATTGCTCTCAATTGGAAGGATAAATGAGAATGTGCTACAAGCACTGTCCGTGGAAACCAAGCTATCATTACGTTCATGAGCACCTATCTATCACACGGGCACAGCTCCATAAATGCTTGTGAAATGAGGTGGCGTTTACCTCTAGGAAATGGGAACCAAATGACACATTTCCCTGGTGCAAAGCAATGGAAACTCCCAGGAGGCCAATGGGACACACGGAGCAGCTCCCCAAGCTTCCTGGCACATGGCTTCTCCAGATGAGTTCCGGAACCCCTCAACCAGGCTTTGGCTCCTGTGGAGGGAGCCCTGTTTCCGAGCAAGCCTAATCTGTGATGGACTGAGCCAGGACACACGGGAGCTTCCAACCCCATATCAGTGGCAAATGCCATTCCAGTCAGGTCAGGAGTGGGTGCCGGGAAGTGGCCCTTGTCCCTGGGGGTGGGGATGGGAGCTCCTGTGTGTTCTAGCTCAGCCCATCACAGAAGAGGCTTACCCTAAAATTCGTTGCTGGATCAGAACCCAGGGCCCTCCTAAACAGTCCTCACAATAAACCCGAAATGAAAACAAAAAAGAACGGACATGAATCTCCTTTCAAGTAGAAAGAGACAAAAAGACTCCAGCTTTCTCCTTGGAAAAGTCATCAATTCTGGGATCTAGGGTTCGTTTTATGCAGGTGTTCCATCAGTAAATGTTACCCAACCCTTGCCGGGTGCAGGAAAGGTCTTGCCCACCTAGGAGTGTCCTCAAACCCAGAAACTAAGAAAGCGCCGCAGGGTGGGATCGGATGAGTCAAACACAAGCCAAGTTTCCTACCCCCACCCCGAAGCTAACAACAGAGAAGGGAACTAAATGAGAACAGGCTAGCAAGCGTAGCGATTTACAAAAGGCACATCTTAGGAGAGGGGAACAGAAGAAACAAACACCGAGAGAAGCAGGGGAGAGAAGAGAGGGCGTGGGAAAAGGCGGAAGGGCGCAGCATCCTGACTGGATTCTCCCTGGGGCCCCGTCCACACTACTCTGGTCACGTTTTAATTAGTTACATGAATTTTCCATTGCCTTAAACAAGAGCTTCTCTCTGATTAATGTTCGAAACAGCTGGCCGATTTTAATCATGACAAACACGATGATCCCGGCTATGATGGCCTGAGCTACTAAAAGCAGAACACAAAGACCCCAGTAGAGGCTGTGATCGGAACCTTCATCCTTGGCCACCAGTTGGACCCACGCGCGGGACTGCGAGCTGTGAGGCAGCTGGGACGGGGCGGGGGCTTCCAGGGTGTTCTCGGCTAGAGGGTTGAGAGGCAGGCGTCGAGGGTGCGGACACCATGGGTCACCCTGCAGTAGGTCCCAGAACGACAGGCCCGCGCGTGACTCCGGGCCATGGCACTGCGGGGGTTCGGCTCGGCTCAGGAGGTCTTGATGATGCCGCAGCCACTGGAGGAAGGGCCACAGACCACAATCGCAGAGCCAGGGGTTGTGACCCAGCAGGGCCTGAGTCAGCTGGGGCAGGGCCGCGAACACATCTCCAGGCAGCATCTCCAGCTGGTTGTACTCCAGCTGCACGGTCTCCAGGCTGCTGAGGTTGAGGAAGAGCGCGCGGGGCAGGGCCCGCAGCTGGTTGTGGCGCAGCGACACCTGGCGTAGGCGGCCGAGATCGCGCAGCACATCGTCCGGGAGCTCGGTCAGGGCGTTAGAGTGCAGGGCGAGCACGCGCAGCTCAGCCAGACCCTGGAACGCGCCGCGCGGGAGCGCGCTCAGGCGCGGGTTCCGCGTCACCCCCAGCGTCTGCAGGCCGCTCAGGTTGCGGAAGAAGGCGGCGGGCAGCGTGCGCAGCTGGGTGCCGTTCAGCCACAGCTCCCGCAGACCGGCCATCTCCCCGAACAGCACCTCCGGCAGCTCCTCCAGAGGGTTCTCGAACAGGGTCAGCCAAGTCACGCGGCTGGTATTAAGGAAGAGCGCGTGTGGCAGAGAAACCAGGCGGTTTCTGGACAGAGTCAAGGAACCCAAGTTTCCGAGGCTGTCGAAGGCACCGGGTGCGACAGAATGGAGGTGATTCCGGTCCAATCTCAGCACAGTCAGGGCGCCCAGGTTATCCAGAAGCCCCGAATCCACAGACGCAAGCTGGTTTGAGTAGAGCAGCAGTGTCTCTAGTTTAACCTGCGCCCCAAGCAATCCCTTGGGCAGGTGGGTCAGGTTGTTTCCAGATAAGTCCAACACCTTCAGCTTCCGCAGGCTCGTGAAAAGGTTAGCAGGAAGAAAAGAGAGCTGATTCTGGTTCAAACAGAGCTCCTGCAGGTTAAGCAGGTTCTGAAACAGGTTTTGGTCAAGGTCCCTTAGTGAATTGTGGTCCAAGAACAACTGTTCCAAGAGCACCATCTTATCCAGGAGCGCGCCTGGAAGATGAGAGATTCTGTTGCGCGTCAACCTGAGGGTTTTTAGTTTTATCAGGTCATTGAAGGTGCCGGGGTCGATGGCGGAAACGTGGCTGTTTGAGAGCATCAGGCGCTGCAGGACTGTCATGCCACTGAAGCTGTGGTTCCGCAAAACGCCCTGATCCATTCGGAAGAATACCATGTGTGTGAGGTTCCTGGGCAGACCCAGCGAGGCGATGCTAGCCACGCTGCCGCCCGAGCACTGCACCGCATCGCGGACCTCACACTTGCAGGATTTAGGGCAGGGGAAGGTCTGGGTACGCACGAGTGCGAGCACCGTGCACAACAGGGCGCTCCTTAGCATGTCTGAAAGGCAATGACACAAGGATCAGATCAGATCTCGGAGTCCCGCATCTGCTGCAAGCAAAGCTCTTTGGCCAGCATTCTCACTGCCTTGGAATGTTGCCCAGATACAACCAAACCTCCCTTCACTCTTGTAATTACAAGGGCCGATTAAAAACTAAACTACTTTTCTATTCAGTTTATGTGGGTGCTGGAGATTCTAGCTCATGCTTGCCGGGCACATATTCTTACCTACCGAGCATCTCCCCAGTTCTCGGTTTAGAGCACTGGAATTTGGACATCTTCAAGCTACAGAGAGAATACCTTAAACCCTTTAGGAAATGAATTAAAATTCTCTCGGTCATGTTCAGTCATCACAAAGTAGTATCTGCTGGGAAGACTGGCTGTGCTACTGAGTCTACTGACTTAAGCAGGGCTGGCTCTACCCAACAACCAGGAAGGGAACAGCAAGACCCACTCCATTCATTTTCTTACAACCAAAAACACCCAACAACACAGTACATTTTCCTTTAACCTCCAAGCACAGTGGAGCAGGTGATAATGCCCGAGGCTTTATGCTATGCGTCTCTGCGCTTTGCTCTGTTAGCAGTAGGCATGAGGAGGGCGGTGTGCTGAGCGCTTCAACACACGAAGTTACTTAAGTCACATAGATAGAATTTGAAGATGGTCTTTCTGACGCACACATTATTTTAATAATGAGCTGTTTGCTTCTAAGCCAAGCGGCTTAATGAAAATTACTCTGGACACTGAATTAACTGGAACACACAGCAATACTATTTACCCAATGTTTCCCAAGGAAAAATCTGTACCAGATCCCCTTTTGCCCCATACGAACTGGACCCTGTAATTACATAACTAATTTAAAGAACATTTGGCCTTACCTGAAGTGGCTCTGTCCCCTGGACTGACTGAAATGCTGCTTACAGCTGGGCCTGTGACTCGGCACTTCACAGAGGAAGAGGGAGTCTTCCTGCATCCTGAGGATAAAGACCTTGCCAGAAAAAAAAGTCAAGGAAAAGACTATCTCAAGAAGGCATATTCTAGGTTTTAATGACAAGAACTTTCAAACTGTGAGAGCCCATGTTAAAGAATCCTACTGCTGAAGCTACATCTGGTAGAAGGCAGAATTTTCCCCATAAATGGCAAGCTAAGACTAGTAAGAAAGTTTGGGGATGTATGGATCACTGCAGCAGTCACACCAATAGATTATACACACATACATTTACTTGATGTGTATGAGCATGGGTGCATATTGCCACAGCCCCACTTCTGTCAGAAAACATAGTTCTCTGCTTCCACCATGTGGGTTCCAAGGACTTGAACTCCTGCCATCAAGCCTAGAGGCACCTTTACCTGCTGAGCCATCTCCTTTGCCCAACGTTTTATTTTTTAAAATAAGGCTCATGTCACACCCCCCCCCCTTGATGACTAGTCTAGCCATCGCCAAGCATGTTTACTAATGGCCTTGTTCAAGAGTTCATGTTCAGCATACTGTTAACGTCCAACTGCCCACCACAGTGTACGTATGCTCACACCTCTTGCTTAGGCTTGAATTCTTTCGATCTTTGTCATTCATAGTTTACATGAACGCCTATCCCTCACCTGGCACAGCTCAGGCCCAACCTAAAGAGAGCAAAACAGCACAGCAGTGCACCAACCTATTGTCTCAAATGGGTTTGAACTTTGCGTTTCTGTTTATGATGAACTTGACCTCTTATTTTACAATGAAGCCCTGTGCTCCAGCTTTTGAGAAAATTGGGTTTGCCTTTCCACACATCTATTTTTCCTCTTTGAGACAGTCTTGCTATGTAGCCCAGGCTAGCTTCAAATTTATAATCTGTCCTCAGTGTTCCGAATTTTGGGATCACAGAGAATGTACCATGATACCCAGCTGTTTCCAATTTTGTATATGCAGACATTCTTAATAATACTAACCCATTGTCAAGTCAAGGCAGAATAATACCCCCCACCAGTTAATGCTCTAATGCCCGTTTCCTTAGCATTCAGATCTCTAGGAGATAAGCAGGTTCCTTTGTATGTACCTAAGAGGCAGAGTTACTTTAAATGTACTTATATCACTAATTTCCATTTTAAACAAAGTTCATGATTCTTCAACTGATTTAGAAACAAAGATCCAAGGTTTAGGGAGACAGCGCCGTCAGCAAAATGCTTGCCTTACAAACATAAAGACTCAATACATTCCAAGAACTCACAGAAGCCAGGCATGGTAGTCAGAGATCCCTGGAGCATGTTGGTCAGCCATATACTGGTAAGCAGACCTTACCTCAAGACACCCATTATATATACAACACTAAGCTGAGATTATAGAAGGGGGAGTGGTTAAGAAGTGCTTCCTACAGCTGGGAAAGAAGCCCCCTCGATGTATACAAGCACACAGACTGTTGTCCCCCTCTCCCCCTCCTGTGGTAGAGATTGAGCTCAGGACTTTGTATGGGCCAGGCAGGGCAAAGCCTTCTACCACTGACTGAGCTAAGTGTATTCAAGCCCTGCAATGGACTTTTAAACTGGAACCACCTAGTTCTAGTTCTGAATTACAGGGCCAAAATAATGCCTTTTTAGGTCTGATGGGTTCCTCTAGTTCTCCCCAAGAGAAGCAACTCTAGAGCCCCAAACTGCCATCCTAATTGCAATCTGCAGTCAGCCCTTCCCCAAACCAGCCTTCCTCTCTACCACCCACTCGGGTAATTGAAGTCAACACAGTTGCTTCTCTGGAATCCGGATCCTTGTTTTTCCTCAAGGGCTCTTTTGGCTGCCCAAGGCACACTACACCGACTACTGACAGATTGTGTCTCTAGCATTATTTTCAGCATTTCCCTCCCATCCCCTGATGTTTACCACGCGAATCTATATTTTGTGTAACTGCTGCAACTTCCCTAAAGCACAGGCCAAAGGGTCACATGGAAACACTATACTGTAATTCCAGATCAGGGAAAAAAAGAAAAAAGAAGAAAAAGAAACTAAGTAATGGGTCCTGAGAGAGCTGCATTTACATACTAAAAGAAGAAAAATCAAAACAAGTATGTAAAAAAACCAGAAAAATCTAATTTATTAAAATTTTTATTTTGAATAGCTTCAATCAAAAAGATTTCTTAAGGTTATTTACAATGCTGAATGTACAATTGTGAATATCTACCTTTCTGACATCAGGGTACCATTCTTGAGCAGCAATACAATTTTAAAAATATAAAGATGTGGTATCATTCTGATATATAAAGTTACTTAAAAAATTCACGGTCTTAGGGAGTTCACAAATCATAACAGGAAGTAACTTTTATTAATTTCATGTGCACATAATTACCAAATTGTAATACATTAAAAATACATGTAAATGTCCAGACTGTACAAAAGTTAATACCCTATCTCGTTAAAAGTTCCCAGTAACCTCCCACCATAAATATGCAAAACCCTTTTCTTAGACACATCAAATCTGCATGCATAAAATTAGATGTTGCTCCTCACTGCATGAGCTTTTGCTGCTTTTGGAACAGGTTTTACATATGTGTATTATATATTATATATTATATGTGGCATATAATATATAATACACATCTAAACATATGTGTATTATGTATATTATATATATGTGGCATATAATATATATAATATATAATACACATCTATATATATATATGACACATTATTTACCATGCCTTTGAAACTGTGCAGAACTTTCATCAACATGGGAAACAAAATAAATAGTGTAAAAACAGTAACAGGTTCACTTAAATGCAAGTGCAATTTGGAAATCTTCCAAATCTCAGGCTTATAAAACTTATAAAAGTACTGCTTTATTGTTGGTTTTTCCACTCTCACTCAAGCACTATTTGCAGCATTGCTATACAGCAGTTGGTGCTAGAAGATAGAAAACAGTTACCACTATTTGTTTATATTTGATGGAGGAAAACAACTTTAAACAACCCTGAGGGAGACCCACATTAAAAAATCTTATTTATTTAAAAAGTTAAAAAGTTACATATCATTATTTAACAATTACTTTCCTGGACATTTCTGTCCTTTAAGTATGTGCATAAATAAAATTTAAATCAGCAATATTATCAATCTTAATACATCAAAATAATATATGTACAGATTTTAAAATTTAGGTCTGTATATACTCAAATAATTTAATGTAAAATCCAGGACCCAAATCTCTATGTGACGGTGACCTACAGAAGACTCCGTCTACCTACGGTACTAAGCAGGACCCATGTCTGAACTCAGACATTCCGCAAACAATATTCTCACTGGAACAACCTACCCTGTCTATGTTCAAATCTAACTTCCTACAAATGCTTTCTCTCACCTACATAAAACCTTGTTTCTTTTGTGAACAACATGGACAGATGAAATATAAACCCTTATCAACTCTAAATATTAAAAAGGGTATGTGTCAAAAATAGCCTTTTATGACCATTCTCTTGAGGGTGTTAAATACAATTGATATTGGGTTTCTAAGCTGCAGCTAGAAATTAATTATATGCTTCTGCATTTAAACCAAAAAAAAAAAAATAAGACAACAATTCAGGAAAATCACTAAGAATAATATGAGCATTATTTGAAATGAATATGGACAATATAAAACAACAGAGAATAAGTAATTATAGAAAATAGTGCTAATTCACAGCTCAAGAGGTCTAAGATGCATAGCTTCATAGAATCATTCATGGGACAATTGTTCTTATCATCTAACATATAGTAATATCATACATTTTGTTGGAAAAATTCGATTATGTGTTTTGTAAGAATCACTAGTGGCAATAGCAGTAACAGTGATCCTGAGAATAATTTACATTTTTTTTTCTTTTTTTCTACAATTATCAAACATCATTCAGGTCTCTGCAAACATAAAAAATAAGAAAAAAAAATGGTTCCAGAAATCTGGGTAACATCTGGTAAACTGGTAAGTATGTACTGGGACAGTATGATCAACTACGACTGGAAAATGTAACATGTGGTTAGCTAAGAAAGAACATAGAATAACCTCGCACTGCTTCACTAATTCAGGGTCCATTTTTATAGCAATGCCAGCTCCCCAAGTTCATCATAACTGTGGGCACTGCCAAACTCCCAAGTCCTACCTAGGAAGGCATTGTGGAAGTTCCTTGAGAACTGAACATTAATCAGATAAAACACAAGCGTGAAAAATGCTTTCTACATTTCTTTTGGCTCAATAAATGTGTATACTTTATTTTCTCAAGCTCACTTGTAACAAAACAGGTATGTGCTGACCTCTGGTGCCACCTAATGGCATAAAACAAGCTCTACTCAAGTTCACATTGCTTTGTAAAAGCCAAACTCAGTGTTCACTATTCCTTTAAGCCTCATTATCCAGAGAGCCATACCATATACCAAGGTTAAGCACTAACTCAAAAACCAAACCAACAACAACCACCAAACCAAACAAATTTATCCTATTCCTTTAGGTTAAAAAAAGAGAGCAAGCATTTAAAAATGATAGAAATCATGAAAGAAAAACAAACAGCGGGTAGGAAGAGATGCGAGGTCTACCACCAAGGGAAAGGATCATCTCTCTCTGCATGCATGTATTTTGAGACAGGGCTTTACTAGCTACTCTAGGCTATCCTTGGACTAAGGACACTCCTCCTGCCTCAGCCTCCTGTGCAGGAGTACAGGCCTGTACCACCATGCCTGACTCAGAAATAAATCTTTTCTAGTGAAAAAGAACGTTTTTAATGAGGCCAACTGGGCTGTTGATGTCAGACACGGCATGAGACCCACAAATGTTACAAAAGCTATCAAGACAGCAGTGAAGCACCTTGCTGGCTAGAAAGTGACACCTGGCAGTCTACACACAGAATATAAAACCAGAAATGGAAGTTACCTGAGATGCTCTACCAACAATAACAAACAAACTCACTCCTTCAGAAACTGGTATATGTTTAACATAGAATTCTTTGGGAGAAACACTGGAATCAAAACAGACTTCCAACCTATTTTCACTGAAGGCTAATCACAATTAACAACCATAAATTTTTAACAGTCCCAATTTAGGGTCTATATATATATATATAAAAAAGGAACTAGCTAATAAAGGGTTTGTGAAAATTAAATTTAAAGAGGCAGACTAGTGTCAAAAGCTAAAAATTTAAAAAACCTAACAGCTCTCTCACACCCAATATAAAGTGTATATCATATTTAGGTTACTGCATGAAGATCTAGCCAGACTGATAGTTAATAACTGTGAGGCAAATGCCGTTTTACTGTTTTTTTTTAATCAACTACTGTCTTATGAGAGGGATATAAACTGAAGTAGTGCCATTCTGACACCTAGCATCACACCCTCCTGAATACGGTCACTCGCACAGCAGACAGTCTCTGCTATGCTATGGTGCTGATCTGACATGATCCATTCTCCTTTACTACAGCTTTGGCTTCCGTCGTGGTCTGAGGCTTAGGTGGCCATTCAGGGTCATCTCGGAGCTCCTGCGCCAGGTACATGTATTTTGCTTTTGGTGTCTTCTTTCTGCAGCTCAAGGCCCAGGACAAGCAACATTTTCCCCACCGATCCACTGACTCCTGGGAAAGGAAAAACATCCTGAGTAAGGGCTTATTTGTTAACATATGCACTGCGCATAGAACAATATGAAATAACTTCTGAATACAACAAATAACTAGGAAAAACTTTATGCAAAAAGGTCAGCTTTCAATTTAGGAACAGATTGTTTTTAAACAGGACTTTCCCCAGCTCCTTTAGTTTTGTGCACATATGTCCTTATGCTATTTAAGTAGCTTTCCCTAGCAGAAAACACCTCGTATATTATGAGTAACTTTAAACTACTCAGGAAAGATTTTTAATATTTAATTTGGAGATCCTCAAATTCTATCCCAGATTATTTTTTATATTGATACCTAGCAATCACTTTTAGAAGAAAGTGACCATTGAAAGACATCATTGTTACTGCTAATACCCTTTTCAAAAGACAAAGTCTGAGGTAAACACCAGAATCTCACTGTTACATTAAAAAAACTATTATTTAAAACCCATCTCCAGCCAGGCATGGCGGCACAAACCTGCAATCCCAGCTTGGGTGCTATGGTGGTTTGTTTTGGTCACGTTAACACAGACAGGTCAGAGTCATCGGCAAGAAGCCTCAACTGAGAAAATGCCTGTAGGCAAGTCTGTGGGCATTTTCTTGATTAAAGATTAATGTGGGAGGGACCAGATGACTGGGGGTGTTGCCACCAGAAAGCAAACTGAGCAAGCTATGGGGAACAAGGCAATAAGCAATGTTCCCCTACAGTCTCTGCTTCAGTTCCTGCCTTGGCTTCCCCTGATGATAGACTGTAACCTCTAGGTCAAATAAGCCCTTTCCACCCCAAGTTACTTTTGGTCATGGTATTTATCACAGCAATAAAAACCCAACTCAACACAACTACATAGTAATTCTGTTAAAAAACAAAACAAAACAAGTAACGCCATACACTCAATGATATAAAACTGCTTTCTCCCAGTAAGTTCCCCTTAGTGCTCCACAATGGGAAGAAGATGCACAGTGAGAGCCGGGCTGCAGAGATGGCTCAGTGATAAGAGAACCAACTGCTCTTTCAGAGGACTTGAGTTCAATTCCCAGCACACACACACGGCAGCTCACAACCACCTGTAACTTCAGCTCCAGGAGCTCTAATGCCCTCTTCTGTCCTCCGCAGGCACTGTACATAGATGCACATATACTACACATGTAGGCAAAATACAAATTCATAAAATAAAACTAAATTGAAACCACTGTGATCAATCGTGACATTACTGATGAATATGACCTTAGATAAATAATCCTTCGAGAACAGGAAGACAAAGTTCTTGCAGGAAAATAAACTCAACAGAATAGTTCTAAGCGAAGTTTGAAATAAATCTAAATGACTATTTCACCTCTGAAAACAGCCCATAAATTACTTGGTTACTGCTTCTTTCAAATAAAATTTATATCGCAGTTATCCTTTTGCCAACCAATAAATAACCCAGCCCACACTAAGCTCTAACCTCAATGGAAGCAATCCTACAAAATGGAAATACAACAGATGAACATTCTAATGTGAACATCCACCGTACCTACAGTCAAGAAAGGCAAATGTGTTATGATACATAGTTGAAACACACTTCTTAATTGGCCAACAGGACCCAAGCATGTATAGAACCTATAATCCTAGTTAGTACTAGGGAGGCCAAGGCAGGAAATTTTAGGGCTCATTCCAGCCTGAGCTAAACAGTAGGTCTGGGGCCAGTTTAAGCTACAAAGTGAAACCTCTATCTCAACAGATTGATCCATCAAATAATAAGGCAAGTAGTAGCCAATGGGAAGAACCAAAAGTACTTCAAAATAAAAGCACTGAAAACTGTTATTCCCAGTACTTTTCTCACTTTAGTAAGACAACCATCAGGAACCCTGCCTCTCTTTTTCAGTATGTAAATAAAACTGAGCTGCATCACTCCCAAGGACTTAAAGGCAAAACTGTAGTCACAGGTAAGTTATATTACATTCTAGGGAAAACTAAAAGATTTGAAGATGATTCATCCAGTAATCTCTATTACCACCACAATCAAAGTTATTAGCTGTGCATGGTGGCACCTGCCTATAACACCAGTATGCAGGAGGATCTTCACAAGTTTGAGGCTGGCCTGGTCTATACCAAGAGTTCAAGGCCAGCCAGTGTTATACAGTGAGAAAGACCCCCCCACATCAAAAATAAAAAAAAAAAAAAGGAAAGCCCAAGGTGGGGTGTGATATTATATTATTCTTTAAAAAAAGAATCCACTACAAATCCACCCAGTAATCACCATGCCCAGGATCCCTCAGGAGATCAAGCACCAGTTAGCAGTTTCTTTCCCAGTGTAGCTGCACCACACAACAGTCAGTCATCTGAGATAACCCTATACTACTGCATTTTACTGCTTCCCCAGTGCTTCCATTCTTCAGCCCAATTGTGGAAAAGAGCACTGTTCCTAAATATGAAAGCTGTCACTTTCACTGACAGTAGCACTGCTAAAGCGTCAGAGAAACACATCATGCTTGTCTGTGCAGACAGGAGACCTCTGAGTGGAAAGGTGATGCACAACAGGCAAAGAGCCGAGAGTAATGGAATCTAAGACACACATAGACACACACATTCCCCCTCTAAATTCACTGCTCTACACCTGTGGAAACAAAAGCAAGCAATATAATTAAAGCCAATCATAAGTGCAGTTTGCTTTTAATATTTAATATATATGCATGTATATGTATATACCCACACACATATATATTCACATCTGTTGAAAACAATGTATATTCATTGTACATCAAGTCACAAAGAATACCTGAGATTCCTCCTAGTCTACCATAATTAGAAAACATGTTTGTTCCTATAACCTTAGCTCCCCCAAATGTCAAAAAATAAATACACCACACACAAGGTTCATGAGACTGCACATAAATGTACCACACACATCTTCAAACAACAGAATTCACTGGAAGAAAATATTAAAGCTACAGTCATGACAGAAATCAGGAAAGGAAAGATGACAGCAAAGGAAGATGGTAGGGTCAATATGTGACAAAAAAGGGTATTTTGGTCATGGGACTTAGAATGAGCACTTGGATCTCCTCAACACAGTTTCAGTTCCTCAAGAAGGATAACACTGAATCCTTAGATTTAATTAATTTGGAATGGTTAACATGGTCAAAAACAGAATCTCTAAGACAAGAACAAGAACATCACTGGTCAACAAAGAAACCAGACAAATGTTTATAAAGACCTGCAGTCACAATCTTGCTTCTAAGATATTCCAAGTTGCTCATTTTAACGCCCAGATCTTTAAGGCCAGCAGTCATTTAGGAAACATTTTTTTTCCATGTATGGCATATACTGTTACTTTCATAAATCTTCCACATCAATCCTCATTATAAAACAAATATAATCCAAGCATCCTACCAATCTATCTAAATAAATTCAAATGGTATTTTCAAATAGTTTTTTTCAGTTAAGATTTTCACGAAAGAGAAAATGTAACTCAGGCATAAAACCTCAAGAGGGTCACAGTGCACAACAGCTCTAGTTCTCTCATGACTTCCAAATTCAACCACCTCAGTTTAGTGTGGGGCCTAGACTACAACCTACAGCCCTGAACTAACTCAGCAGTGCCCCTGAATATGAAAGAAAAGGGGTATTCTTTCTCTAACACTGAGAGCTGCAGTCTGGGATCTCATGGGCGTCTCTGTAAAACTGAGCACCTCCAGTTAGGCAGTGCAGAGTAAGTCTGTGGTAGAACAACAGCACACAGGCCTGCAGTAAAGCTAGTGTCACCAGCCATCTCTGCTTCCTTCTCACCTACAGTAGAGCTCTCTATCAGCATGGGCGCAGCTCTGAGGTACATAATTCTTTTTTGGCAGGAGCTGTTGTCTATGTACCAAAGGACATTTATTTAGCAGCACCAATGGCCTCTACCCATTCTCTAAGTCAATAACAACCTCTCTCCCTTATGTGTGATAACCAAAATTGTCTACAGACACTGCCATTCCCTGGCGGGGGAGGAGAGGGGGTGTTGGACAGAGTTGCCACTGAACAAGAAGCAAAGCACTTCACACAGAAGCATCACTAAAGGAAACTTAATCTTTATGCACCAAGATAAGGACTCTCCTTGTCTAAAAATATAGCTCCAAAAAGTGCTTTCTAAAACCACAGAACTGATCCAGAATGGGTCTACTTGCAGGACTTGCGGAGCTTACATGCTAATAAACTGCCCTGTTATCTTTACCTCCCAAGAACATTTTTAGAGGTAGAACTTCACATGAATAAAAACTTAAAGAATTAAGAACCATATTTACAATTTTTGAAGAGGCAGTAGTAAAGAATATATATATTTGCCATTCAAATTGTGCTTGAATAACTGGGTAGGGTGGCACTTAATCCCAGCACTCAGAAGGCAGAGAGGTTGGCAGATCTCTGAGTTCCAAGATAACCTTGGCTACATAGATAAACTGTCTCCAAAAACCAAAAGAAAAAAAAAACATTTCTAATGCAAATATTTTGTTCCTTAAATGACCCATCTTTTAAGCAAGTAAACCCCTCTTTAGAATATGCCTGTACTTCCTATTTAGAGAAGGTTAGAGATCTCTTTCTTCAGAGAAGGTTAAAAATTTATGTGTTTCCCTAAGCCTGTGCCTTTCCAACACTAATATCTCACACGAGAAGGGTGACCTGAGCCAGTCTGAGCTGAAATAATGTAGCAATAGTGAAGTCACCAAAAGAAAATACAGCTATGTCATTATCACAGAGGAGGTTCAGCTAAAGGACCTGAGCCCCACAGGTCTTTCCGGCCCTGCCCTCTACTAGTGACAAACAAGCACTGCGCTGCTTTGAGAAAAAAACTGCAGTTGACTTCAGACTCATGCTGCCACTGCACACCACTGTTATTCCACCATGCAGCACAGAGCACAAGTAGCACTCTACATCGTACACAGCAAGCCTGGAATCTAACCTGGATCTCAGGCCTGCTTAATTACAACATAAAACTCGGGAAGTCATCATTTAAGTAAAAGGTGATGAAAATGAGTTGATGCTCTAAGTCAGAAATGCCAATCCTTGAACACATATTAGCAAGGCACATCACCCATGTCATAAAGAACAATGGGTAACATTTGGAAACAGATTCTAATGTAATACAATCTGTCCTTGAACTCTCTATGATCTTTCCTTCTACCCCCACCTCTCCTGTGCTGGGACTGTGTGCTACAACTTTTGGCAAGGTGCCATGTTAAATGTTAAAGTTCTCATAGGCTATGATTAAATAACAGCAATCTACAGACTAACCTGTACATTCTATCAAAAGCTCTCGGGAGGCAGAGGCAGGTGGATCTCTGAGTTTGAGGTCAGCTTGTTCTACAAGAGCTAGTTCCAGGACAGACTACCAAGCTACAGAGAAACTCTTGTCTCTAGGGGAAAAAAAAAAGGGGGGGGGGCAGCTCTACTGTAACATCCTCACACTAGGTAACAAACTTTTCTTTCCTTTTGCCAGAGGGATCTCTGTGCTATGTGATAAATCAGTTATTCCACTCCCTTTAAAAGCACTCATCACTGCTTACACAGAAATGAGCAAATAATTTTTGAATGACTGGTACTGCTCAGGGAAAGCTAAAGGCCACATTAAATTAATGCATAGCAACTGTCAGAACAAAAACACATCATTGTCTAAGAAAAAAACAAAAATTGTTTACATGACTGTCATTTACCTTCTAATCAGACTAGTGAAAATATAATAGCATGCATATAAAGCATATAAAACATAAACTATAAATCAGACAAAAATTACAGAATTAACTCTCAGCTGGGTGGTAGTGGTGTACGCTTTTATTCCCAGCACTCATGAGGCAGTGGTAGGCAGATCTCTGGGAGTTCAAAGCCAACCTGGTCTACAAAGTGATTCCAAAACAGCCAGGGCTACACAGAGAAACCCTTCTGGGGAAAGAAAAAAATTAACTCCCATCTTTTAGAATAAGACATTCGAGTGAGCACACACACACACACATACAGAGGATTGGAATGGAAGAGACTTACGAAATTCTCAAAGTCCTAAAAAACCTCTATTAAGTATTGAGTTTTCTAGGACTCCTTACCAAAAAAGAAAAAGAAATGCCAGGCACAACAGAGGCAGCTGAAGCTGAACACACAGAATAACAGAACAAAGTACACAAGTGGGAAAGCCAGTATGTACGTGAAGAATCAACAGTAATCAACAGCTCGTTTCCAACCTGCGGTGGCTGTGTGGTGGTGAAACGATACTCTCCTTGTTTGTCTCGACTGAACACAACCTTCCAAAGGACCGTGTCAAGGAAGAAGCTCTGAGAGATATTCCAGTGAGTTAAGAATTAAAAACGCCAGGTCATTCCTTTTCAACATGCACATTTGCTAACATTCACACAATGTTGCATCATTAATATAAAAAAATGTGATTTGCTTTTCATATGGCAAACTTCAGTAAATACTACAAAAGGTTAAGTAACTTTTGTAATAAATACAAGTCATAAAATTCTTGATAAAAACAAGATTAAATTTTCTACAAATTAGGTTCTGGTCCCCAGTGCTTCCCTAAATTAACAATGTTGATGATTCATGGCCATTTTCTTAAAGAGTTACTTTTACTTAATATCTACTATTAATTCTGTCTTCATATTAATTCTGTCTACATAACTATACAAACATTTCATCAGCAACCAATACAAATAATTCTCTACATAACAAGAATAAAAGATGAACTTACACAGTAGGAAAAGAATCCTAACACAATCTTAAATGTGCTTTCTAGAATTTTTGAATAGAAAATACATTCTATAGAATGTAAAATGATCAGCTACAAATATCCATGCTCCCATCTCATCTCAATTTAAAAACCCAAGCCATTTTTCCAAGTGGCACACTCTACTTTCTGTTGGGAACACAGCTCTGTGAGCGCACAGACACCTACTCTTCTCTCTGCTCACTGCTCATTTCTGCTATCTCACTACCTAATGCCTCCTATATTCATGAATGCAATTCCATCAAATCCAGATAGAACTGCAGAAAGGTCTGATCAGGAAGTTGAAACAATCTGCCTAAAATGAGAGTGTGGGCTTCTGTATAATATTAGCTGTTCTCCCACCACTACCACCTTTAAATCACCCAAGAATCCCAAAACTGGGTGCTTACCTCAACCGTGATAGACACGAAGGCATTGATAAGAACAATGATAAGCATATGTATACGCCACTGGTATGGTACACATACAATCTAAAAGAAAAAAAATCAAGTTAGTCTTAATTGATATTATAGCATTATATCATGGTATCTGAAGTCATGCCTGTAATCCCAGTCAGTCCTTAGGAGGCAGAAAAAGGAAGATCATGAGTTCAGTTAATCCTAGATATCTTATAGGTACAAATCAGAGTGGAATACCTAAGACCTTATCTTAAAAAAAAAAAAAAAAGATCTGAATTTACCAAAACCAATGCTATGTACCTATATGTATGTATATATATATTTACATAGGTACATGTATATATACATATATAAAATGCAAATACACACTTTATCCACTTAACTTTTGGTAATACCACAAAATATGCATCTTTTCACACAATAAAACTATCTCACAATTTAAAAAGTGATTGCTCTCACCATTGAATCTTTTTTGTTTGTTTTTCAAGACAGGGTTTCTCTGTGTAGCCTTGGTTGTCCTGGAACTCACTCTGTAGACCAGGCTGGCCTCGAACTCACAGAGACCTGCCTGTCTCTGCCTCCCAAGTGCTGGGATTAAAGGTGTGCATTACCATTGCCTAGCTAGCATTAAATCTTAAGATACTCAAAAGTCTAAGATACTCTAATCTACAGTATTACAAATGTCTAACAAGTTTTGTTTTGTTTTGTTTTTTTTTTAATAAAAATCTTTCAAAAATAAGGCAGAGACACTAGAGCAATGGCTCTGTGGTTAGGAAGCATGTGCTTCTCAGCATCCAGATCTGGTAGCTACATCTGCTGGCTACCTGTTAACTCCAACATCAAGGAATTAAGTGCTGTTGTCGTCTGGCCTGTTAGGCCCTGCAATCAGCATGTACATTCCTCCAGATATACATATAGTTAAAAATAAATCTGTTTTTAAAAATGAGGTACATACTAATTTAATGCTGGTCAAATTAAGTTGACTTTCCCCTGTTCAAGCTTCTAAACAGCTAGAACTATGCCCACACACCATAGTATGTAACACCAAAATCTGATTGCTCTCTTTGACCTAAAATACCATCAATGAGTAGTTAACACTATGTAAGATGTGAAGGAGTAAGTTGACCTAATGTACTTCCTATTAACATACTACTGCTCTAGTAAAGTTTGAGATGAGAAGACTGCAAGGGATGGATGCTAGAATGCCAACCAGACCAGGGATAATGAAACAATGAAGCTCAAGAAAAAAATAGAAAAATTTTCAGAACAGGGAACAGCAAAAACAAAACCAAAACCACAAAACAAAAACACTAAGAGTGAGAGAGAGAGGCATCAAGAAGGAAAGCAGCAAGATGGAAAGAGAACACGATACATTTAGCTTTAAGCCTTAGCTTCTAGATATCGTATGTATGATGTATACACATACTTATGCACACACAACACAGGAGGTCAAAGGAGGATGTCAAGTTTCCTGTTCTATCACTCTCAAATATATGATTAGAAGCATACACAACCATATCCAGCATTTTATGTGGGTTCTGGGATTTGAACTTAGGTCCAGCAAACATTCTTGGCCCTGAGCTAATTCAACTCCAAAGTTAAGCTTTTTTTTTTTTTTTTTGGTTTTTTGAGACAGGGTTTCTCTGTAGCTTTGGAGCCTGTCCTGGCACTAGCTCTGTAGACCAGGCTGGTCTCGAACTCACAGAGATCCGCCTGCCTCTGCCTCCCAAGTGCTGGGATTAAAGGTGTGCGCCACCATCGCCCGGCCAAAGTTAAGCTTTTTACAATGCTCATTTTGGACAACTGCTATCCCTTAGTATTCAGGTCTACCACTCAATAGTCACAGCTAAACTCAGGGTATAGACTGAACAGTCTTTAACTTACTGATGCCAACTGCAGGCAAACTATTGAGTACAAGAAAGATCAGCTGAGTACTGAGTGAAAAGAAGACATGTTCAGAAAGATGGGGAATTAATGTTTAAAGATGGGTCAGAAAGAAAAGAGCCACAATGGAGGGTCACAGAGGGCAGGAAAAAGCCAAAAGGAAGAAAGCACACAACTTAAGGGGAAGATGTCTCAAAACACTAGCCTGGTTACATGGTTCAGTATTTGGGGAACTAAAGGCCGGGGGTGGGGGGAGAGGAGGGGTTAGAACAAGAAACTTCGAAGAACACACACCCATTGCACGTAACTAAGAAGGTGGTCTTGGTCAGGGTAGTTTCAGTAGCTCAGCCATGCTAGGTGGCAGAGTGTATTGAGGTGAGCAGAATATGTGTAATAACAATTAACTAAATGTCTCAATCAAACATGAACACAGTCGTGCACTGCTCTTCAAAGTCCAATAATGCAGTTTTTATGAAAAGACTCAAGATAAAATTTCCTACAGCTAGGGTAAGGTTTGTCACTTTTCCAAACTCATGTTGAGATGTGATTCCCACCTTAAGTGTTAAGAGGCAACGGGGTCTTTATAAGCAATTAGTTTAAAGGGGTTTCATTTTCAAGAAAGGACCAATGTACTTGAAAAAGAGAATTACCATGATCCCAGCAATACCACTCCTGGGAACGTTCAACGATTTTATATCCTACTACAGGGATATTTACACATCATGTTCACGGCTGCTCTAGTCACAATGGCTAGGAAATGAATGGATAATGAAAATGTGCTGCACACATAATTTATTCAGCTGTAAAAATTATGTAAATAAAAATGAAATTATGTAAAGGCTACAAAGAAAAGTGAAATCACCTGCAAAAAGATGGATGGAACTGGAAAATGTACTAAGTGTAACAACTTAGGTCCAGAAAGACAAATACTTCACACTCTCTCCCATATAGAGAGGAGCTAGAAAAGGCTTATTAAGAGGGAAAGGAGACCTTAAAGGGGATGGAGAGAGTGGCACGCATGTAATATAAAAGTAGAGGGAAAAAGTGGTAGTGGTTAGGCAGGGTTTCAGGTGATGGGGAGGAAGAGAGAGGAGGGGGTGAGCTAGTTTAAAATGTGCATCCAGGGACTGGAGAGATGACTCAGTGGTTAAGGGTACTGCGGAGGACCCAGCTTCAGTCTCAGCACCCACAAGACAGCTCACAACTGTGACTGTCAACAGCTGATCTGACTCCCTCCTTCTGGTCTCTGGGCACTGCATACATGTAGTGTACCTACACACATGCAAGCAAACCACTCACACAAATAAAAATAAGTGTTAAAAAAGTATATATATCAGAAAGAGGAAAACTGAGTTTGAAAGAAGTATCTTGTAAGGGTGAACAACACTTTCCCCAGAAGACATAAATTATTACATGAAAATTATCAATGTCAGGTGTGGGTCAGGGAGGCCCTAGAGTATATTGCCATTGCTCTTGGTTGTTCATCACAGCTAGAAGGTAAGACTATCTAGTGCCAAAGATAACAATACACTCTGTTTACAGAATACAGAGAAATCAAGCTGGAACTGACCTGGAAAATTCAGCAGTGCACCTGGCATGCTACGATAGAGATCTGCACCAAGCAAAGATGTACACACTAGTTCAATAATGACACAAAGGTTCAGGGGAACTGCTCTCTGACTAGATTTAAAGCCTGCTCTACAGAACAGACTTCACCATAGATTGGGTAGCTGCAAATGTGGTCAAGAGTCCACAGCTTGAGAGGTCAGGATCCCAAGAGGCAACTACTATTGTTTTTGCTCAATGGATATGAGTATCTTCTAAATATCTTCCCACTGATTAATGCTGCTCTCAACCTTGGCCAGAGAAGCTTATTTTGGCAATGGCAAAGCAGTCAATATAGAGATTCTCTCTGCTTTCTGACTATAGATACAATGTGACCAGCTGTCTCAAACTCCTGACAGCATGCATTATCCATCTTGATAAAAGATATCCCCTCAAACTATGGACCACAATAAATCCCCCCTTTCCTAAGTGGCTCATCAGTTATTGTCACAGCAATGAGAGAAATAACTAATAACAATATATGAGAAATAAACAGTGCTCACAGAAAAGGAACTAATTGTTTCCTGAATTTATTAAACAACTCAGTATAACTCTAATTCCAAGGGTGCTTTTCTTGGTACCCGACAAGCCAAACCTAAAATTTAGAAAGAAATACTCCCAGACAAAAACATCTTGATGATTCTATCACATTGAGGTAGAAGTATTGTTCTGAAATATATAAAGATCCCTTACAAAGTCATAATAATTTGGAGAGTCCAGTACTACCAGAAAAAGATAAAGAGAACTCAAGTATAAAATAAAGCCCTAACAGGATGAAAATCACCAACTTTACATTTGGGGAACTGAAAGATGTCGGAAGAACCACTGAAGGAAGACACATGGGAAAAGATATGCCAATGAACTAATCAGGTGTAACCAATAAAATCAATTTAATTATGTTCTTTTAGAGCATCGTTTAAATACAACCACATCTTAGACAAAGGAAAAGAAGCAATATTGGGAAAAATAAATGGAGGTAGTTTAATCTTTCTTCAGTATCAAACATCAGAAATACCATTTAGCTGTTTACCTTCCATATAGTAGTACAACGCCATTTTTTATGAATGTCTTAATACTGTTACCCCAGTTACCATCAACCATGACACAAGTAGTGAGTGCTAAGCCTTACCTCAAGAACCTGGTCAACAGAGGCAACTGGATGCAACATGATGAATAGTATGAACACATACAAAATAATCACAGATAGAACAAAAAAATCTGGAAAAGAAAGCAAACAATTAAATTAGGCATTTCCTTTAAAAGGTGCCAAAGACCAAGCAGCATATAATTACTTCAAGATTTGCTTTAAATACCTCTACTTAAGATGAAATATAAAAAACATATGCTGTTATTTCCTACAGTATAAAACATCCTACAACCCCACCAGACATCTAAAGTCCATTAGCTTCAATCTTAAATGTACGTCAGATAATAGTAGCACATGCTTTAATCCCAGCATTCCAGATACAGACAGATTTGAGTTCCAGGCCAGCCAGAAATATATAGTTAGATCCTTATAAAGTGATTCCCCTGCCTCAATTCTACACTTACAAATGGAAATCTAATATTCTACTTCACAAGTACAACTAAATTAATATATATTAGTTATCCAAAAGTTGTTATGATAGTTAAAGAAAATGCTAGTTGGAAACACACAAATACCAGTAAAAATGGGGAGAAAAATAAAGAACTAAAAGAAATAGTCACAGGCAAGTTTGATGGCACAGAACTGGAAAGCAGAGGTAGGAAGACTGAGTTTGAGATCACCCTGACCTGCAAGGTAAGATTTATCTCAGGAGAAGAATGAATCAAAATGGATGGATTGATGGATGAAGTTCCTGAAGACATAACCCATATTAGATACATTTCAAATCTTACTGCATAATTTTGTTCCTGATATATTCCTTAGTTAAGAAGTTTGTTATATTTACTTAAACATGTTTTCAAAAGTTGCTGAGTTTCCCCCCTAACATCTGACTTCTAAAAACCTGCCAAGATTTCCATAAGAGAAAAAAAAGTTATCTTCCACTGGAGATAAAACAGCTACTATGGGCTGGGAGATACTTGGCAGTGGAACACTTGCTGCTCTTCCAGAAGATACAAGTTCTGTTCCCAACACCCATGTCTGGTAGCTAACACTATATCTTAACTCCAGCTTCAAGAGAACGTAATAACCTTTTCTGGCATCTGTGAGCACTGCATACATGTCACAAGGAGATGGAGACACCCATAAATAAAAATAAGCCAAGAACTACTCAAAAAAGTTAGATGTCACATGGCTTTTCATAAGCACACAAAATTTTTTGAAAATAATCTAAGAATTCAACAAAGAATGGAAAATCAACTATTCAGGGAGGTAGGAATGTCTAGTAGATTACCCTCAGCTTCTGGGTCCTCTTAGAATTGTCAGCAAAGTGAGCATTTAGCAACCCTGTTAAAGTAAAAATGCTCTTCACTAGAGACAAGTGCCAGAGTAAGTTATGTGTTGCTGGTGATTGTGGGTCTGGGGCAAAGTGGTTAAGCTAAGAACAGCTTGGGCTATGGACACTGTTAGATATAAACAAAATCTAAAATAAGTTAGTTTGGTGGTACATGTCTACAATTCCAAGATTTGGGAGACTGAAACAGGAACCATGACCAGTTCAAGGCCAAAAAGCTTGAAACATCACCAGTTCAAGTCCAAAAAGCCTAGACTGGATGGCAAGACACTATCTCAATGTTCTCCAAACATTGGAAATATAACAGGTAAAATCAAGTCCCAGCTGACTGTAACACAAATCTTTCTGACAGAAAAGTATTTCTTGCCTATTCCCTAAAATAATACATAAAGCAAAATACACACCTATGATTTGTCGTCCTCAATACACACTTCTCTTGCTGCTTCTCAATCCTGTTTCTTTCTCAAACATTAACTGCCACCTTCTGACTTAGCTCTCTATCCCTTTTCCTTTACTCAGTTATCTGTCTCTGAAAGGTCAACTTATTTTGTAGGGCTAATATTCCCACCAATTAAGGCATGACAACTAGACAGGAGAGATCAACATTTCAGCTCAACACCTTCAAAGGCAAAGATAGGAAATGGACTTTGCAAACAAAAACTACAAGGACCAAGCAACAACTAAAACTGAAGCTGAAACTACTGGGCATGACGGCTCACACCTAGAACACCACAACCTGGGAGGTGGAAGATCAAAACGTCACTCTCAGCTACATAAGACCCTGCCTCAAACAAAGAAGTTTAATCTAGTGAGAAATGACAATTAAGAGCACATTATCATGGTACTTGAAATGGAAGTACAGCCAAACATAATAGTGTACATATACCTGCTTGAAAATGTGTAGCTAGACTGAGAGTGTAAGTTTTATTTTAAAATGAAAATAAATCAGAAAGGAGGAATACCATTCAGGAGAGGGTGCCTCCGGTATTAGTAACAGCAACAAATAAAAATCTCAAAAAAAATGTAATATATTACATTGATTAGAACTTGAGAACAACTGAATGGTCTTAGCAAAGAACTAGTCCAAAAAGTGCAATGGCAATGCACGTCAGTGACAGGAAAACAAGGGGTGAAAGAAAACTAGCAAAAGGTATATAGCCAACTATATTGGTTCCTCTACACACTCTTGCATATGCTTTACAGAAAATTTTATGATTATATCTCTGTTGAAATATTTTAGAACATTTAAAAAGAAATCAGGGCAATCATCAACAATAAATAAAGTGGTTATCATGTATTCACATCAATTGGAAGCTAAATGAGAAGCTAAATGTGAAGTTTTCAAAATCCTGTAACATATGTATTTGCGGAGTGGAAGGGGATTTGAGGTAGGGCTTCTCTGTGTAGCACTGGTTACAACTCTCCCTGCTTGGAATGACTCAATCAATCTCTTACTTCAACAATTTAAGTATAGATAGGGTGGAGTATATTTCCTTAGATAGTTTTCCTAATGGGGACACAACCTGAGAGCAGTTTTCTTTATAACTAAAAAGAGGAAAAAAAAAAAAAAAAAAAAAGGAAAACCACTATCTCTAGACACAGTGTACTGCACCCGAAATCTTAGCAAAAGTACGAAATCTGCCAAGAAAACTTGGTAAGACTCTGTCTCAAGAGATAAAAGAGGGGGTTGCTGATGAGGGTGCATAAGCCCAGTGACCTGAGTCTGATCTCTGACATCCACGTAAAAGGTGGAAGGAGAAAGCAGACGCCTGTCCTCCACATACAATATTAAAAAAAAAATAAGTAAAGAAGGGCTAGGGATGAGGCTCAGTTGGAAGAATGCTTTACCCAGCATTACACCCAAGGTTGGGCCCCTCATGTTACAGAAACTGGGTATGGTAGCAAACACTTGCAATCCTAGCACTCAAGAAGTGAAGGCAAGAGGATCAGAAGCTCAGGGTAACCTCAGTTATGCAGCCTGAACTACACAAGACCTTACCTTAAAAAGCAAACAAACAAATAAAAGAGAGTTGGGGATACAGTTCAATGGCACAATACCTACCTAGCTTGTGGTGAGTCCCTAGGTTGAAGCCCTTACTTAATATTATCTCCAATCCCTTCCTCTAACTCCACCCCCACAAAAGGTTCACCTTTCAGTACATTAACTTTAGTTTTATAAACTAAAACTATATATATACTAAAGGTCCTACTTTAAGTATCACAGAAGGGTTCTAGTGGATCTTAGTAACAGCTATTAGTACAGTTACACAATAACATGTATAATAAATATAGTAACAAAGTTCTTATCTTAGAGAACTATCAGTACCAAAAGGAAAGAACAAAAAACTTAGCAGTAAAAACAAATTTCAATGTTAGCTGTTCAAACATGCATAAGGTCAAACATGGGATAGTGCATGTGGAAATGTAGAACAAGGTCTAATGATTATTACTTCTATGATGTCTAAAATGTAGACCTGGCATTTTAACTGAACAATGATGTCTTTTCATGGCCACAACACAAGAATACCTGCCATTTTCTCCTTGACAGCAAAAGCCATGTCAACTAATGTTTTCAATTGTTAAAACTGTTATTAAGTGTGTGAACTGGCATATGTGAGCATATGTGGAAGTCACAGGACTTCTGTGTGTGTGCAGATGAGTCTCTCTTTGTAAAAGGTTTTATGTAGGTTCCTAGGACTTGACTTAGGTCAAGTTTCTCAAGTAGGACAACTGCTAGGCCATCACATTTAAATTTAAATAAAAAAATTTAAATTTTTCTATTTTTAAAAGCTGGTAACTAACACATAACACCAAGTTTTGTTCATAAGGTCTAATGTATGTCATCTATGTTATTGCCTATGAACAGACACAGATCTCTATGCTGTTTGCCAATTCTGTATGGGAAGCAAAAGTGATTTAAAATTAGGAACTCCAAAGACACTGACCACAACGGTATGAGTAGAGAAAAAGGCAGGTGGTTCTGTATAGAATACCCCAAAGGAAAAGATACCCTCTGTCTCCTGAGCGCCTCCTACAGATTCCTGTTTCCAATTCTAATTCTCTGTACTCATTCACAGAAAAGAAAGGGCCCAAAGTAACAGGATATGAAAACCAGTTGTCGCTTTCACTTTTAAAATTGTAGAGTAGAAATGCTCATGAAAGTGAGAATAAGAAAGTAAACATGCAAAGATTTAGAATCTTACCTAAGAATTTAACAGTTAAAATTCTTCATTTATTTTATTCATTTTTTAATTTTTTTAAAACTTTACTTTTGAGACAGGGTCTGGCTTTGTAGTTAGATAGGATTGTGATTGTCACACTTACAATTCTTGTAGCAAGGCTGCCTGAATGGTTTTCCTTTTGAAAAGGCAACCGCCACTGTGAGGTACTGAAAACTAGAGATAAAAAATACTGTGGTATTTTCATAATTTTGTATTGTACACGCATCGAGTTCAGTTCCGTTGTACAAATGCGATGAGTTCCAACACCCGCTTCTTGTTGTATTACAAACACTGGAACACAAAAAGATCCTATTAGGGGCTTAGCAGCATCTCCCCCAAGAGGCCAAAATGCCATCTACAATACAAAGAAGTAAGATGCTACTTATAGCAAAAGACACAACAGCAGCAACACAGAGGGTAGGCAGGAAAGCTTTTCTTCTTTCCCCTTTAGCTAGATATTCCATTATGTATCATTAAAATTATAATCAAGTAGTGTCTTTTTTTAAATTTTTGGAATTTTAGTACAGTGATGAACATGAACAGGCCAGAGGTCTGTCTTTTTGTGCTACCACTTTTAACTGCGGGATATATAGTGAGTCCCACTTGGATACTAAAAGACTAGGTGATTAAGGTTTTGCCGCCATGGGTGGATTAATTTATTCATGTAATTAACAGATAAATGGGCATATGAGAAAACCCAGTTTAAATAGTCTCTCATTGTGTGATGTCAGGTATTGCCTAAGACGCCACCATCAAAAAAGATATCATGTAATTTCTCAGTCAGGAGGTAAGATAAATCGATTTTCTTAATACAAGTAACTCTGTGGTACAGAGCAACAAAAATTGAGACACTCTTCTAAAGTTACCTTGACAAAAAGAAAAAATTTATTAGGTGTTTAAAACAAGCTACATGAAACTCCTGTACATATTTCAAGGCTCATCTTTTCATATTTATCTTACACAAATACTTATAATGGATTGACCAACTTACTCTGAGTATGGATCACACACTTTATACTGCTTGACCCAGAAAAAGCCCAGCGACTGAAATCCAACAGAGATGACAATCTGAGACAAGACGGAGAAGAGGAGTGCCCCAGATATAAGGCCTGAAGGTGGCCTCTGTGCCACAAGTTCTTTCCAGGCAGGATTCAAACTCACTATATTTGAAAGAACAGAAAGTTTTTGTCTAAATTCCCTGCTAATAAAAATATAACAAAATTCACTTAGAAATGAAAGTTTCAAAATTCTGGTTTTGTCTATTAAGTATTTAGTAAGAAAAGTTTCTAAATACTAAGTTAAATGTCATACACATTATAATAACCTATAAAACATTTTATTCTTTTTTGGTTTTTTCTTTTTTTTTTTTTTTTTCTTGTTTTGTTTCATTTTGTTTTTCGAGACAGGGTTTTCTATTCTCTGTGGCTTTAGAGCCTGTCCTGGAACTAGCTCTTGTAGACCAGGCTGGTTTCAAACTCACAGAGATCCATCTGCCTCTGCCTCCTGAGTGCTGGGATTAAAGGCGTGCGCCACCACCGCCTGGCTAAACATTTTATTCTTATTTCAAAAATGCCTCCAGTAAGTTTTACATTTCTGTTGAAATTCATGGGAAATACTAGTTCCAGTAAAAATAAGAATATCTGTAAATCAACATGTGGTAGTGCACACCTCTAATCCAGAACAGGGGAGGCAGAGGCAGGAGGATCGCACGTCTGTGATACACAAGCAAAATCATGTCATATCCTGTTATGTCATAACATAATGCAACATGAAACTGGAAAAAAATAGTTACATGTTTTCCCTTTAAAGAAATTACTAGTAACGTTTGAAGCAATATAAATAGAATAGTAACATAAAGTAGAATTAGTCCAATTGACAGACAATACATGGGATCTACCAATTTTTCTTCTATAGTTTATCTTTTGATAATAATGTGTGAAAAATCACACTGACATTCATTAAAACTATGCTCACCCATTAACTAGTTTTATCATCCATTAAGCATCTTAACTCAGCAATTCTCATCAGGGGTAATTTTAGCACCCCAGGAAAGATTTGGTGAGGGCTGTTATAGCAGATAGAATTTTGACACATATTAGTTATTTATCTTAATGTTAGTATCACCAACTTCCATTCAGATAACTAAACATAGAGAGGCTTGGAACTTTCACTCTTATGTTCTAGTTATGCATAAGATACTCTGTAGGCTATGGAAAGAGTAACCAACCGAGTCACACAACCCTTCACCTATCATCAATCTGTCCTGCCTGCAAGATGTACCAGGGACATGTGAGAGTGGCTAACCAAAGACTGCCAACTTGAGGCCCGTGTGCCACAAGAGGGAGCCCATGTCAAACACTAGACAGCTAGAAACTGGAGACTAGATAACTGGAGACCTGGGGTAGGGCCAAACACAACTGGTCTTTGGGGAAGGAAAAAACATCAACAAAATGATTCCTAATGATATTCTGCTATACTCATAGCAGTCATCATCAGAGAGGCTTCCTCTGGCAGCTTATGGGTGCAAGTGCAGAGACGCACTGTCAGACATTATACAGTCTAGATTAAAGGTTCTTCCCCTTGGAGATTGAAAAACCCCATGTAAAGGGGGGAAGAAAAGACGGAGGACACCAGGCCAATGTGGTCCACCAAATCAACTAAGTAGGGTTTACATTGGCTCACAGAGACTGAAAGGGTAAGTACAGGGTCTGGCATGGGTCTGCACCAGATGCTCTACATATGTTATGGCTGTTAGCTTGGTGTTTTTATGGGACTCCTTAGAGGCAAGTGGGCTTATCTCTGACTCTTTTGCCTGCTCGAGTCTTTTCCTCCTACTGGGTTGCCTTGTCCAGTCTCAATGAGGGCTTCATCTTGTCTTATTGTATCTTGTTTTGTCTTGTTTGGCTGTTGTCTTTAGGAAGTCTGCTCTTTTCTGAAAAGGAAATGGATGGGGAATGGGTCTGGGGGAGATGGGAGATTGGAAGACGCTAGGGGTGAGAGGGGGAACTATGTTTGGGATGTATTGTATAAGAGAAGACTCTATTGAGTAAAAAAGAAAACCTGATTTTTAGTTAAGAGAAAGATAATGCATCAAGGTCAAGTCAATATAATGGCTAACAGAGGATCCTCTGATTTACTAATTGAGCAAGGGGAGATAAGCAATTAGTATTTTAAGGCCCAAATGTTGTGAATAAATCCATTATAAAGGTTTAAAAAAAGATACAAAAACGATATAAAATTTATGAGCCAGGATTAAAGCTCACTTCCAGTCTAGAAAACAGACGGGGCAAAATAGAAGCAACCAGTAATGAAACATATACAGCAATAAAGCAGCCAGTAATAAAACATATTAAATTATTTAATATTACAAATTTTCAAGTGCTTTGAGAATTAAGAAAATTAGCAAAATACTTACTTGTAAATACCACTACCAAAATGATTGCCAGATCAATGAAGAGAAACTGAAAGTCTCCCAGGTTACTCAAGATCTACAAAAGCAATTGTGAAAGTTTAAGAGTATTTTCACAGTACTGTTGCCAGGCAACAGCCTTGTTGTCCCCCCTACAAGACACTTTCAAAATGATCCTTCAATCCGCTTAAAAACTGAACTACATTTGCTTCTGAAGTTAATCAACAATAACATCATTTGTATAATTTTGACCGAATGTTAATATATGAAAGTTTAACTTTAAAATCTGACAAAGCATTCTTGATTTTGACAAGAAATTTTTACTCAAAATATTCAGCATTCTTAAATATCAGTATCTTGAATTTCTTTATACTCTAAGTGTTCCCTTTGTAAATAGTAAAAAGGGGATGTTCTCACAGTGCCAGTAGGAAATCTACAGGGAGATCATGTCAATCATAATCTGATAGAGTAACCTATTGCAACTACTGTCAAGATTCTCTTTCAAAGACATAAAGTTCTATCAAGTATTCCTGAAATGTCTTTTTCTGTAAATGCACAGTGACGTTAACTACAACTGTGATTATAACACAGATGGCATACATCTAACATAACAGCAGTAGAGAATCAGGCCTTCAAGGCTCTCCTCAACCACATAATGAACATGAGGCTAGCCTACAAACATGAAATTCTGCCCAAAATAAGCCAAGCCAATCTGTACTACAAACTAAAAAGAATAAAATCAGCATTTCTTCCCCCACAAAGCTGTAGTCATGGGTGCAGGCTTTAATGAACATACACGCCAAATTAATGGCACTGCTACTCATTCAACTTTATTATCTCAAGGTAATCTTATATACAAATTTCATTTTTAATCAATGTACTAAAAAATCAACAAACACATGCCCAATATCTTTGGTGCCTGACCATAAAGAACATCCCTTGGCAGTACTGGTACTCACAGAATACAGGAGAGTAACACTGAAGTATTGTATGATGCTGTATAATGCCATAAATTTAAACACACAGAAAGATGTCATTAAAGCAGCACGGCCCTCCCTGTGAATAGAAATGTCAACATGTGATTAATAGCACAGCACCTTAAGCTTGACCTTCAGAGTATGATTATATCATGACAGATGAACATCAACATTCATAGCGACAATAAAGTTTGATACCAAAAAACTATGTCACGACACAAAAGCATCAATCTACTATTAGTGAGTTACAGGTCAAATGCATATTCAACCAAGTCTGTACTGCTCTGTAGGATATTTTACCCCATTATATTATAAAACTTCGAGCCATGAATACTAGCTCTCAGGTCTGTATTCATAGCCACTGGGGAGGTTGAATCTGGAGGCTTATACAAGTCCAAGGCCATCCAGGCTACATAGGTAATTACTGGCCAGTCTCAACATACAGAGCAAGTCTGGAGGTGCATACATGGTGGGGTATGGTGGGGTGGGGTGGGGTGGGGTGGGGTAGGAGTCGGGGGTCCTGGGGCTGGAGAAGAGGCTTAGCAGTTAGGAGCACTGGCTTTTCCAGAGGATCCGGCATTCTATTTACAATACCCATTTGACAATTCAGAAGTACCCATAACTCTAGTCCCAGGGCTCAAATGCTCTTTTCTGTTCTTCTTAGATATCAAGAACGTACGCACGCAAAACACAAACATGTTTTATTGAGGTCTCTTGTAAGAAAAAAGAATGGAGGGAGGAAGATTATTCCAATTACCTGATGAGGTTCGGCACACAGGAAATACTAGGTGTCTTAGAAGTAAAAGGAGATGCCACAGAAGCTTCAAGCTCAGACAAAGAAATGCCACCATGTGCCCTCTTCAAAGCCTAATTGTTTCAAGAATATTGATTAAATTTTGTGAATATAACTCAAGCTGAAGAACAAACTCCAAAATAAATCACAAAAACCTTACTTACACCACAATCATTTGCACCATCACCGCACATCCCAACAAAGTAACTAAGAAAAAAAAAATAAGATTAAGCTTTTATTACACATCACATCTAAAGTAATGGATTCTCCAGCAGAGCTAACAGATCAATGAGTTTTCCCACTAGATGAGCACAAACAACATTCTACTGACAGCACACTGGGCTGAGACTGGCATGACCTGAGTAATTTGTTTCTGCTTGAAAATGGACAAATAATTTTGGTGTCTTGAATTCCTTATCTGTGGAGCAAAGACTTCAGCCTATATATTTTATAATACACTTTTTGTGTTATTAGTAAGGATTTCTCCCCTTAGATACTTCAAACATTACTGGCTACTAAAATTTCAGAGTCCTGAACCAAGTGCATTTGTATGAACCTATACACCCAGAACTTGGGAGGATCAAGAGTTCAAGCCTAGCTAACACACTACCCTCAAATCAAGACAAACAAAAAACCAAATTATGGTCACTTCTTTCAATATGTACCCACACATATACAAGCAGCACTAAGTGGATTGAGAAGCTTGAAAATAAGAAGAACACATGAGCTTGGAAGGGAGAAGTGTAAGGAAACTTGGGATCAGAGGGAATGGGGAATGGGCTTGTTTATAACAAACTATACATGAATTTCAATGAAAAGAGCAATAAATTACAATCTGTGTGGGTATAAACTTAAGAAAGGACTGTGAATATTTTTCTTCAGCCAGATAAATATGTGAGCTTGTTTACCTATCTTATAGAAAATAATTCTTCTCTCTCTCTCTCTCTCTCTCTCTCTCTCTCTCTCTCTCTCTCTCTCACACACACACACACACACACACACACACACGTGCGCATACTTTAAATTTTTCATCTGTTATAGAAGTGTTTCAGATTTTTTGGAAATTTACATATATTGAAATGCTTGCTTCAAATTCTATCGTGACAATCAAAGTTTAAGATTTTGAAGTATTTCAGATTTCTGGTGTTTGGATTAAGGATGCTAAACTTACACATGAGAAATATTAATTACTCTTCTGAATTTGAAAATGAAATTACAATTTATTTGAAAATTACAATGAGAGGAAAAGCCAAAAAAAAAAAACCTATGAATACTTACTCTACATTTTGCAATGCTTCTACCAATTGTGTCTTCTGATCTGGTGCCATTCGAGCAAACACGGTGCCATGTAACATCAACTAGAAAACATACGTTTTTGTTTTTTTAAAAATGTTGTTCATAAATAGCACATGTAAACATCCATAAATTCATAATGCTTACCTTAGGAACAAGATCTTGAAAATGTTCGAGTATCACTGAAAATGACTTTCCATTCATCGCAAAATGATAGCGAGTTGACGGAAGATCCTCTAAACTATCATGGGCAAGTTTAATTGGAATAGCCTGTACATGAGACATCAGAACAATATTCAGGAAGCCATACCAAGAAATACAGTTGTATGTTTAATATATTTATTCCAAGATTAAACTATTTCACATTATATATTATACATGTCATTAAAATCTTAGCTTTAGCCAGGGGTGGTGTACACCTTTAATCCCAGCATTTGGAAGGTAGAGGCGGGTAGACCTGAGTTCAACACCTGCCTGGTCTATGAAGCAAGTCCAGAACAGTCAGGGCTACACAGAGAAACTCCGTCTCAAACAAACAAAAACTTTACCATTTATTCAAAAAGTAGGGGGGGGGGGAATCAATATTAAGATTACCTGTAATATTTATCAAAAAAGGAAGGAAGGAGGGAGGGAGAGAGGAAGAGAGGGACAGAAAAGGAGAGGGAGGGATAGATAGGGAGGGAGGGAGGGAGGGAGGGAGGGAGGGAGGGAGGGATCCTAGCAATAAAGAGGCAAAGGCAGGATCAGCTTTGATTTGAAGTGATCTGAGAAATGATTTTTCTGTTTTGTTTGTTTGGTTTTCATTTTTCCAGACAGGGTTTCTCTGTGTAGCTAGAGCTGTACTGTAACTCACTGTGTAGACAAGGCTGCCCTGGAACTGAGATATCACCTTCCTCTGCCTCTCAAGTGCTCGGATTAAAGCTTTGTGTCAGTCTTGCTGGGATTAAAGGTATGTGTCAACACGCGAGAACTGCATTTTTATGAACTGTCTGGATCATTTACTGCTGATTATGGCTAAAACTGAGTATTTGGGAATCTTACACTTTGAAACTACGGTTCTCAATTTTGACTAAATACCAAAATTTAAACCTTCAGATTCTTATGCTAATGAATCAGCATAGTTCTCACCTCTATTTTCACTTAGTTTTTGTTAATACTGAGTTTTTCTGTACCACTGCTTGTTTTGCCCCAGACTAAATTCAAATAAACAAACTTAAAAAGATAATATAAATATTACCTCTGAGTCAATTGCTGATGATTCATTACACTGTGTTAGGGAGTCTGCATAATGCCAATTGATCTTGGCAACTTTCCCATCCTTTGGAGGTAATGCTTCAGCAATAATAACTTTATCCTGAGGTAGAATCATTCCACAGTCTCTGGCCACAGAGACAGCCGTCAACATGTTGTCACCTAATTTTCCAAAGTATTTTAAACACAAAAGGTTGAAAAGGAAACATAAAGCGGGCAGTGGTGGCGCACGCCTTTTATCCCAGCACTCGGGAGGCAGAGGCAGGTGGATCTCATTGAGTTCGAGGCCAGCCTGGTCTACAAGTGCTAGTTCCAGGAAACAAAATACAAAAAAAGATAAGGAAACATAATGTATAGAATGAGGACTAGGCATCTACTATAGTGCCTATGGCTGGCAGAAGGGCCCCCACAATAGCTCTGCTGGAAAGGGAACTGTTGCCAAGCCTGATAACAGAGTGTAAGTCCCAGCACTCACATGGAAGGAGAAACTGACTCCTGTAAGCTGTTCTCTTGAATTCCACACATACATACACATAATAGAGAAAAGAATTATAATTTTAAAATTCTAACCTAATTCTAACAAACACTCGCTATATGCCAACACTGAAAATTATAAATAATCCCCAAAATGAACAAGGCATGCACTTATCCCAAGAATTTTATATTACGTCACAAGAAACATTTATGGATAATTCACAAGTCAATGTACAACACAGGGTACAGCAGACAGAACAAAAACCAAAAGTTTCAGTTTCTCCTTCAATATGAACTACATTTTCTATAAACAGATTTTGTTAGAAATCTAAGTGAGAATTATAGGTATCTTATTATCTTTGAAAATTATTTAGAGTTGAAATAGGACAATACATGGTAGAGTCACAAATAGATAATAAATGGATACCTGACTATTCATCAATCTCATACAACTTGAGCTTCAGAGTCACACTCACCTGTGACCATGACAGTTCGAATGTTGGCTTTATGCAAATCTTCAAGTACTGCAGGGGTTTCCTGTTTTAATTTGTTCTGCATTATAATCAATCCCATAAAATCCATGTTGTTTTCAATGGCATCTCTGAAAAGAATATATAATAGTTTACTTTGGACAAAAGATTGACAGAGAAATCTAAAATATCTAAAAGCTAAAAGTAAAACACTCACATAATGAATGAACAGATACAAGTACCAGTTCACTATCTCCAAAAACTCAAACATCTATTCAAGGGAACAGTCTATGAAAACTATATGTGATTGAACAACTAGTCTTTAAGGGTGACAATGGCAAAAGGTGACATTAGAAGGAAAGAAAAGACCAATGTGTCCTTTTGTGAGAATTAGGACATACCTGTGGTTTTCAGAGTGACTTATGTTATCAGTTCACTAGTATTTTGGTTTTGTATGTATGTATTTTGCCTGCATGTATGACTGTGGTGTACCTAGTACCCATGGAAGTCAGATGAAGATGTTGGATCCCCTGGTTCTGGGGTTATGGGTGATCGTGAGACACTATGAATTAGAAACCAAACCCAGGTCCTCTGAAAAAATAGCCAGAGCTCTTAAGTTCTGAGCTACATCTCCAGCCTCCTTGCTCTGTTTTTGTTTGTTTATATTTTGTAATGTACAGATCACCTCTCCAAAACAGGCAGAAGTATCAGGACAAACTAAATTCCTTTCGCGTACAAAATACTAAACACAGCCTGAAAAATTACATTGCCCTTAAAGGCTAAGTACATCATCAGCTATTCAAAAGAACAGAAGGGGGTGTAAGCTAATAGCTGTAAACCTGACAATCTAGGACCAACTGGAGACAGGACTCTGAGTAATCCTGTCAGGGATAATCTTGCTGATTATGTTGAGGTGGGAAAACCCACCCACTGTAGGTGCCACCATTCTCTGGCTGTGATTCTGGCCTGCAGAAATGGAGAAAGAGACAAGTAGAAGCACAAAATTCAGACTTCTGTTTCCTAACTGTGATGAGACTGGATGCTTCAAGCTCCTGCCGCCTCGACTGCCCTACCCCACCATGATGACTGTACCTTGAACTGTGAGCTATTCCCATTGGGTGGTTTTAGGAAAAATGAACACTAGAATCATTTACTGCTCCTAAAACATGCCTGGCACACAGTAAAAATTTGCTAGCAGGCTGGAGGATGGCTCAGTGGCTAAGAGCACATAATACCACTTTTGACAGGGACCCAAATTCAGTTCCCAGCAACTATATCAGGTAGCTCACAATTGCCTGTAACTCTAACTCAAAGGGACCACTCACTCTTGGTATCCATGGGCCCTGCAATCACATGTACAAATCCATACACAGACATACAAGTACCTTAAAAATCAAAATAAAAAACAGAATCTGATAACAATTTCACAAACTACAAGTATTTCCAAGACTTCTAAAGAAAACAATTATTTGAAGAACATAACACAGGCAAAAAATTTGATGAGTGGGGCATGGTGGCCCACGATTTAATCCCAACACTGGGAGGAAGAGGCAGGCAGATCTTTGATTTCTAAGCAAGTCTGCTCTACACAGTGAATTCCAGAATAGTCAGGACTACACAGAGAAACTGTCTTGAAAACCAAACAAAAAGGGCAATATAGAATAAAAAGGGAAAAAATAAAAGTTTCACCTCAAACACCAAAACCAAAGCTACAATATACATATTTCACACATTCAATCTTTACTGTACATGACTTACAGGAACATAGGGATACATCATGGGGACTGCAGGACTGCTACTCAGTCATACCTGCTAATATGTTGTACTTTGTGCCACGTCAGTTTTGACTCCAATTTTCTGTGTGCAAGAGCAATCACACGGAAGCCTTGTTTGGTATAATCTTCTAAAACTTTCTCAAAATCAATTGGAACTTTTAAAAATAAGAGGAAATTTGATTTTAGAATTGTTACTATAAGCTTATGTAAATAGCTGAGTTTTACCCAGAATCTAGTTATTTCCTTACCTGTTTCAGGTTTACAAAGACTAGCAATAACCTCAGGGGCTCCTTTCATGTAGGCATCCATTTTCTTGTCACCTAGTATCCTTGCAACCACACTCATCCGTTGTAAAGCAGAAGAAAATGGGAATTGTCGAACAATTCCTATCTCATAAACAGCCTATTTAATTTAAAAAATGCATAAAGGATTTATTCTTTAAGAATAAAAACAAATGTATTTAATCTAAGAAGAAAACATTCTTCACTTACTGGAAGTTCAAACAGCTCCTAAAACCAAGAAAATAAGGTGCAGATTAATATACATCAGCTACAAAAAACTAAAACATTCACAAAATAACAAGCAACTTTGAGTCAGAACCTAAGAGTCCCAATACAACATCGCCCATTTAAAAAAAAAAAATGCTGTCATGGTGTAGCTTCATGGTATGACCACCCAGGTAGAATGCCGATAGCTCGGGCTTCAATTCCTAGCACAAGATGTCATGGATTAAGAGGGGAAAGTGTTCAACATTTTCAAATATTCTAAATCATAAAAATACTGACACATTAAATGCTAAAATAAATGAGAGACAATGAAAAATTCATCTAAGAGTAAAACTAGTATGAGTGCTTTTTTATAAATTATTTGTATACAATTCTAGGGCTACAGATGCAAACTAAAAAGATTAGCTATCACATATGTAAGTGGCAAAGGACACAAGGGCACTGAGAATTAAATTTCAACATTTCCAGAGAATGCCTGTCTTCCACCAGGGTAGCCATTCTGAAAAGCTCAGTTAGAACACACCTGTATCTGCATAGGATAACATACCCAACACCCTTCTGATAGAGGTACTTCTAAACTAGAGTTCAAAGTGGCATCATACCATTTCTTGGTTTCCTACAGCTGTAGATTCAGGAAACAGCTGTTTGGAAGGACGAACCACAGTGGGCATAATTCGGTTATGAAGTGCTGTTTCTTCCTCAGTTGCTTCTTCCAAAATCTAAAAGTAAAACATTCAACATACCACAAAATTCCATATTCGTTTCATTTTTAAGTGATTCATTGGGAGGTGGGGAAGCAATTGTTGCCAAAGGACACATGAACACTAAACTATTAACATAAATGCATTTTAAATATATTTATTTTTATTAACATAAACATAAAAAGAACTACTCAGACACCTCGCAACCTTTGGGTGAAGGGAGAAGTAGCTTAGAAGTAGAATAAAGGAGCAAATATGAAGCCTGTTGTCTTCAGAATGAGCTGGAGGCACATAGTTTTTTAAGATTTTTACCCTATAATACAGGGATTTCCTTTCTGCCACAAATGACACAAGTGTGTATGTATTCACAGGTATACACTGTAATCCCAGTACTCAAGAATACAAAAGCAAGGCCAGGCGGTAGTAGCACACACCTTTAATCCCAGCACTTGGGAGGCAGAGGCGGAAGGATCTCAGTAGTGAGTCTGAGGCCAACCTGGTTTACAAAAGTGAGTGTCAGGCCAGCCAGGACTGTTACTCAGAGAAACCCTGTCTCAAAAACAAACAAAAGGAATACAAAAGCAAAGGAATCACAATTTTCACACTAACCTAGGCTACACAGCCAGCTTAAGGTCAACTGGACTATATGAGAGCTTTTCTCAAGCCTAGACAGAGTTCAGATATAGTTAATGGAACCACTAAATAAAAATAAGCTGTACAAGATATCATGTGATTTTAGAGCCATACCATGAAATCATAAACAGCTTAGCTACTATAGTCGTAACCTCTTGATTTTCACCTTTTTAAAAAAAATATTTTATGTATATGGGTATTTTTACCCAAACATATTATCTGTACACCTTGTGTGTACATGAGAGGGTCTGGACTTACAGACAGCTCTAAACTGCCATATGATGCTGGAAATTGAACCTAATATTATGCAAGAATAGCTTATCTGACCATCTCAGAAACTGGGATGTATCTTATTGTCCTATGATCAGTTTTAAGGCAAGTTTAAGAAGAGGAAACCACAATTTAAAAAACTGTGGGGCATTTTCTTGAGTAATGACTGATATGGGAGAACCTAGCCCTAGAGATGGTGCTACTCCTAGGCAGGTGGTCCTGGATGGTATGAGAAAGCAAACTGAAGGCAGGTAAGGTGGCAGGCACACTTAGTCCCAGCCCCAGAGGCAGAAGCGGTGGATCTCTGTGAGTTCAAGGTCAGCATGGTCTAGGTAATGCATTCAAGGACAGCTAGGGCCCTGTAGAGAGACCCTGTTTCAAAAACCAAAAACAAAACATACAAACAGGCTGAGCAAGGTTTGGGGAGCAAACCGGTAAAAGCGACACTCTTCCATGGCTCTGCCTTAGTTCCAGCCTCCAAGAGGTTCTAGTTTTGATTTCCTACATCAACTATTTTAAATGATGAATGCCACGTGGAACTATAAACTCAAATAAACCCTATCCTCCCTAGTTGCCTTCGGTCATGGTATTTTACCACAGCCATAAAAATCCTAACCAAAACAGAAATTAGCACCAGGTTGTGGGGTATTGCTGTGGCAGACCTGACGGGAGGATTGTGGAAGGAGCTTTAGCTTAGAAAAGGCACTGTATGCTCAGAGCTCAGTGGGTGGTGGCAGTCTTGCTTGTGAGATTCAGAGGGAAGAAACGACTCTATCAGGGCCATTTATGTAATATATTTAAATTAAGAATCTGTGGTTCTGGTCAGCTGGAGTTGAAGAACTGGCTGTGATTAACAAAGGACCAGAACCACCGGGTAGTGGTGGTGCACACTTTTAATTCCACACAGGAGGCAGAGACAGGCAGATCCCCATAAATTCCAGGGTAGAGTTTCAGCACAGCCAGAGAAATCTTGTCTCGAAAAACCAAAAAAACCAGATCCACTAAAGTAAACCCTTTGCTGGCACAATTGATGCTAGTCAGCTGGGGCTAAGAAATTAGCAGTGATTAAAAAAGGCCAGAATCACTGAGGTGAAATCTTCTGGAACTATTTCCTCAGAGTCAGCACACAATCTATTCCAGGGTAGACAAGGCTGCATCTCATGCAGACACCCCAAACTGATAATGTATTAGAATCACATAAACTTGCTTTGAAGGCATGAAAAGGGTCAGGAAGAGCAGCTGAGGCTGGCACTGTGAGTAGCTGAAGTCTTGGAGGAGAGTCTGGGAGTAAGCTACTGGTCAAGATACAGACTAGCGCCATATAAACAGAGTGTAAGGCAGCATAAAAACAGAAAGTTAAGAGCTCATGCCTGTACTCACGAGTTAAAGGCAGAATATCCTCAGCTATACAGCTATGTTTAAAATGGGCCTACGCTACAAAATGGGGGGGAGGAGGGAGACCTGTTTCAAAAGCAAAAAGGTTAAACTTACCCATCCAATGGCTTCAAACATTTTCAAATCAAGTGGGTCACCAGAAAGAACACCTTCAATTTTTGTAAGTGAATGACAAGTAGCCATGCAAGCAACAAATTGAGATTTTACCAATATCTCACTGCAAACATTGTCTTCTGGTAAAAGAAATCTAAACAGAGAATACACACTGAATTAGTTTTGCATTTTTCTAGACTCAACCCAACATTTTAATACATCTTTACAGGTTTGTGATCAAGCAATAAATAAATAACATAAAACAAAAATACAAATAAAACAGTCCTGGCGGACACGTCCTGTAATCCCAGCACTTGGGAGCTGGAACAGGAAAGCCAAGGAGTTCAAGATCAGACCAAAAATTACAGTAAAATATGGTGTGGGAGTGATTTCTTATTAATAAAGAAACTGCCTTAGCCCATTTGATAGGCCCACCCTTAGGTGGGTGGAGTAAACAGAACAGGATGCTGGGAGAAAGAAGCTGAGTCGAGGAGTCGCCATGATTCTCCCACTCTAGACAGACANTAGAATCTTCCCTGTAAGCGCACCTTGGAGTGCTTACACAGATGATTAGAAATGGGCTAAATTAATATGTGAGAATTAGCCTAGAAGAGGCTAGATAGAAATGGGCCAAGCAGTGTTTAAATGAATACAGTTTGTGTGTTGTTATTTCGGGCATAAGCTAGCCAGGCGGCCGGGGTGCTGGGGACGCAGCCCCGCCGCTCCTATTACTACAAAAATACATGAAACCCCACCTGTACATAAATATTTAGGTGGAGGGCTGGGGATATTGTTCAGTGAGTAAAGTGAGCTTGCTTGCTATGCAAGCCAATTTGTATGCATGGTTTGTGTCTGCCTGCTAGCACTGAGAAACAAAGACAAAAAAATCTTGGAGGTTCACTGGCCAGCTGGTGTAGCTGACCAGTTAGAGATCCTGTCTCAGAAACTAAGATGGAGAGAAGACACCAAACATTGATCACAGCCTTCCAAAGGAGCACACATACACATGCAAACCTGCGTATACACGTGTGTGGTACATGCACATACCCACCTCACATCTCAAACAGGAGAAAAAGAAATGGGGGGGGGGCGTTTACAATATAAAGCAAAAAAAAAATTACCACAAAAACATGCACTGTCCCAAAAACAAACCACGGGACATCTTGTTCACGACAGCTACGAAAAAAAAATCGGATACCTAACCATAAAACAAACCAAAAAAGGCAGTAAAAGATCCTTGCAATGCAAACTTTCAGAAACTTGAAGACAAGATAACAGAACTTCCGCTCATGTCCACAGACTGACAGAAGAGTGTTAAAACAGCTGAATTACCAAGAGCTATCTATACGATTCTTTTCTCTTTTGTTTTCTGAGACAGAGTCTCATGATGTAGCTCTGGCTGTCCTGGAACTCACTCTGTAGATTAGGTTGGCCTCAAACCTAAGAGATTCATTTGCCTCTGCCTCCTGAGGGCTGGGATTAAAGGTGTGTGCCACCACACCAAATTTAACAATTTATATATTGCAATGCAGTCCCCCATCAAAATTCCAGTGAATAGCTGGATAGAAAGAAATCTTAAAATTCATATGGAAGCACCAAGCCCTAACATAACCAAAGTAATCTTTAGCTTAAAGAATATCTGACCCTCAAATTTTATTAAAGCCACAGTAACAAAAACAACTCGGGACCAGTACAAAAACAGACAGGTTCACTAACTGGAATAGAATCAAGTACCCAGAAGTAAAAAAAACCCTACAGTCTAAAGCTACTAATTCTCAACAAAAGCATCTAAAGCACACACTGGAAAATGTCCATATGTAGAAGAGTAAAACTACAGCTTCATCCCACGTCACTCAGAATGGACACAGATTACTTAATGTGAGACCTGACACTGTTAAATTGTTGGCGGAAAACATAAGCAAACAACTTCAAGAGAGAGGCATGAGCAGAAGTTTTAGGGTTCCAAAAGCACAAGAACTGGCAAATTCGATATCATAAAATTAAGAAGCTTCTGCGCAGCAAGAAAACCATTGACCAGAGTGATGAAATAGAGAATGGAAAAAAAAACTTTTGCCAATTGCCTCAGAGCAATAACTATGAAAATGCAAGACCAAAATATCAAATCACTTTATCAATAAAACTGCTAGAGAAATAGTTCTCAGAAGAAATACTGGCTATTTGGCTAATAAACACTGGAAAAAGTCTTGAACATCTTTAGTCACCAAGGAAATACAAATCAAAACTATAGTTGCAATTCCAGCTGATACTCAGTCAGAACAGCTACCACCAACAAACCAACCAACCAATTGATGGTGAAGATTGTGGGGAGGAAAAACTCTTATATACTCTTTATTGGTGGGAATAGAAACTTGTTCAGCCACTATAAAAATCAGTAAGGTTCATCAAAAAAAATTAAAAAGTAGAATTACCAGAAAGCCCAGCTGTAACGCTCTTGAATATGTGTGTGTGTGTGTTGATTTATATGAGACTCTATGGATATCCAATATACAGAAATCTTCAACTTCCAGAATAGGCACATGCCTTTAATTCCATCAGAGGTAGGAGGATCAGCCTGGTTTACATAGTGAGTTCCAAGACAACCAGGGCCACAACAGTTAAGAAATGGAACCACCCACATATCCATCAACACATGAATGAATAAAAAAATATACAGTAAAATTGTATTTAGTCAAAGAAAGCTTACATTAGCACATTTATAACAGAAAATCATTTTCTTAAGCAGCAAGACAAATCACACTTTCTCTCATCTGAGGTATTATAATTGAAAACTGTTATATGTGTGCGTGTGTGTGAGCATGTTTGTTTAAGATATGAAAACTAGAATGAGGAACATGAGGAGAGGAAAAGATCTTAAGATAGGAAAAAAGAGGGCAATGCCATGTATGTGACATGAAAGCAGAGGGTGCTTGCTTGCCCCACAAACTTGATGAGAAACCATGTCTGACAACCCAAGCCCGAGTTCCAGCCCCACATGCTGAAGGAAAGAAACCTACTCCTACAAGTTGTGCCGACTACACGCCCACACCTGCCTACACACACACACACACACACCATAAATAAATTCTAAAAGATATTGGAAACATATATACATGAATAAGTTTATTCTCTGTGGTAGGTACACGGTTGGCTATTATGTTAGAAAGCTGAATATGCTAAAATGTTAAAAGTTAACTAGACTATCTAGCTAATATTTACCGGGTATTTTCCACTCGCTGAATTCCCCAGAGATCTAAACCATCTTCGGTAAGAGTTCCAGTCTAAAATTTAAAAAAAGTACACATGGACAAAGTAAGGACAATTGCTTACAAAAAATAAAATGCCAAGACTCAAATCAATTAACAACTATGCTACATATACACAAGAAAGAAGCAGAGTCTGAAAGAAAGGAAAGAGAGGTGGGAGCTCGTATACTGTTAGTGAACTTGCACAACAGTACTTGCACAATCCCTCCTTCAAGTACAAGGCACTACCTGTGTGAACTGTATTTAATTTACTCATGTGCCAACAATATAAACCAAATGCACCCGTCAACCTACTTACTCACCAACAAGCAATATCTGCTGATGTAATGGTAGAACAGCACAGATTATGGAACAAGGAGCCAAGAAGAAAATTTAAACACCAAGAGGAAGCTAATAGTTAAACCCAGGTAAGAAAATGACCAGTTTTGCCAGGCAGTGGTGGTGCATGCCTTTAATCCTAGCACTTGGGAAGCAGAGGCAGGCAGATCTCTTTGAGTTAGAGGCCAGCCTGGTCTACAAGAGCTAGTGACAGAGACAGAGACAGAGACAGAGAAAGGAAAGAAGGGAGGGAGGGAGGGAGGGAGGGAGGGAGGAGAAAGAAAGAAAGAAAGAAAGAAAGAAAGAAAGAAAGAAAGAAAGAAAGAAAGAAAGAAAGAAAGAAAGAAAGAGACCGGTTTTCTTCAACAAAATGGTTGGGGATTCAATAAAAATCACAGAATATTAAAATACATATTTATGAACAATTAAAAATATTGAGGGCTGGAGATATGGCTCAGAGGTTAAAAGCACTGGTTGCCGACTGCTCTTTCAGAGGTTCTGGAGTTCAATTCCCAGGAACCATATGGTAGCTCACAACTGTCTATAGTGAGATCTGGCACATACATGTAGATAAACATTGTATATATAATAAACAAATACATCTTTACACACACAACACAGTAAATACACATCCACAGAGGCTATTCTATTACATTATAATTGCCTAAAAATATGAAGGACCATATAATCTTTACTCATTTCCATTAAGTTTTTAATTTTTAAAATTAATTTGGTCGAGTACGGGTGTTTTGCTTGCACATACACTTGTTTATCCTGTGCATGTCAGGTGCCCAAGGAGGTCAGGAAAGGGAACCATTACCCTGGAACTATAGTCACAGAAGGTTTTGAGGTGCCACATGGGTGATGTGAACCAAACTTGGGCTCTCTGATCCTCTGAAAACAGTCAATGCTCATAAATACTGAGCATCTATCTATCTCTCCAGCAGCCATATATATTCAGTTTTATTACTAAAAGATTTTGAAAGACCCGGGCTCAATTTCCCAGCACCTACATGGTATCTCACACCTGTCTGTAATTCCAGGGGCCCTCTTATAGCCTGTGGGCGCTGAACACACATATATAAACAAAGATGCAGGCAAAACACCCATGAAGATTAAACAAACAAACATGTAAATAACGAAGGAGGCCAGGAATGGTGGTGCATGTCTTTAATTCCAGTACTCAAGAGGGCGGAAGAAGGCAGATTTCTTTGAGTTTGAGGACACCTTGATCTACATGAATTCCAAGCCAGCCAGGGATATATAATGAAAACTAGTTTTAAGAGAAGGGGGAGAGTGAAGAAAAATATTTCAAAATCTACATATGCTAAGTAACTGGAAAGAAGGAAAACTACAGAAACACTAAAATTATGGGCAAATAAATTCATAAAGGAAATACAAATATAAATATTTAAAGTAACAGTAATTATTATGAAGCCAAACCAACCTTATCAAAGCAAACAAGATTCAGCTGTCCACAGATATTTATCCTTTGGGGACTGATACAGAAAATCCCAACTTTTTTCAGTCTTCTCTGAGCATATACAATTCCAGCGGTCATTGCAGCAGGTAGTGCAGGTGGCACAGTAATCGTAATGATATCAAGAGACTTAATAATTATTTCCTGAACTTCTTTCTACAATTAACATAAAAATAAATGTCAAACTAACAATACTCAATTAATTAATCTAATGAAAAAACACACTATTTTTGTATTTATAAACATACACTCCTATCTATTGCTGACATAATTTTTTTTCATTCAAAGATCTTATAAAATGGCTGAGGCATATAAACAGTAGCTTAGCATGTTTGAGGCCCTAGGTTCAAACCCCAATGCTTATAGGTAATTCTAAACAGAAGACTCAATGGACGAACAGAATAGCAGCTAAAGAAGACAAATATTTACTCTTAGAAATACTTATCTCATTCTAATAGCTTGCATTCTTCACATGACTGCCTTCAAATCAAGTTGAACACACTATCTGATACTGTCTCATCCTATAAGCACCTGGACAGTCTCCACAGAAGCTAGAAAAAAATCAGGCATGGGCCCTTACATGTGCCTCTTTTACTGAGTGTTTAGAAATAATTTTGCTAAGAATGGTGGTGCACACCTGTAATCCCAGCACCCAAGAGGTGGAGTTAGGAACAAAAAATAGCTAAATAAGCAAGACAAGTTACAACTGTATATATTAACTTATTCCACAAATATGAAAGAGTGTTTGGTGCCAGACATTCTAAAGAATAATATGCTATGATGAAAATAATTTACACTTGTGGAGTTTTCTTGTTGAGCAGGATCTTGCAATACAGTCCAAAACTAATTTTCCTGCCTAGGTCACCCAATATAACTTTGCCTTCAAATATAATATATACTAGTGTCACAGTTTTCTTCAGACAGAAAGTTAAAATTAACTTCAGTTATATGTGAAATAATTAAGTACCAAACCTATCAAGTTACATACCTTATTTAAAATGCTATTGATGATTGTATAGATAAACCCAATGCCAGCCACCACCACAAGACACAGCAGAAACAAGTAGGCATCTCTATAGAGTTTAAAATCAGTTGGCTTGGGATACAGTATAGAACGAACAAGCTGTCCTTTGGAAGTACTAAATCCTTTCAAAAATTAAAAAGAAAAATTACTTATCTTTTCATGAGAATTAACTTCCCAATCACAATTCCTTTATAAACATCCAGTAGGTTTCAAATTCAAAAGAGACTTTATCTACCTGTTCTAACTACTATGGCTTTCACGAGTTCTCCAGTGTAAAAACGAGTCTGAATAACAGTTGTCCCACAAAACAGAGTGTGTCTCTTGTGTGTCTCTGGACTGTACAACTCCTCCCCCGTTCCTTTTACATCCACTGAAGGATTTGGCAAGTTAGTCTTTGTCACTGGAACACTTTCCCCTGTTAAGAAAACCAAATGTTAAAGGAAAGCTTAGAAATCAATGTCAAATACATACTGAAAAAACAGTGAAATATTTTAAGTGTTAGCGTACTGTTTGTAATATTTAATAACTGCCTTATATATGGAGGACATGGTGTAACCCATGAGCTTTTGTCCATCAGTTGGTTCACTGACAAATACCAAGTAGTTTCGCACAGTAAGTCCAGAGTGATTGATTCGTGATTCATAAATAATGCGTAATGACCTTCAAAAAATTTCAAAGACCAAAGAACACATCCTTAAGAACAGAGCTGAAAAGTACTGTTACTTTAAGTAACCAGTGATGTCATGACATCTTTAATCACCACTAGACAGAAAGACACAAATATAGACAGAAATATACCACCATAACAAAAAAAACTTGGGCAAGAGAAAAAAAAAGAATAGGTAGTATGTGGTTCTTTCTTTTTGTCCTTTAATTCTCAATAGCATTCTTCAAAAACAGCCAGAATGTAGAAATTTGTTTGAGATTGTGTGTTTTAAGCCTCAAAATATATAGGAAACAATTTCTAGCCAGATTAAAATTTAAAAGTTCACAATTTAAAAGGCAGAAAGATCTATTTCTAAATTGTGAATTTCCAGTAATTACCTTAAAGTCTACTTCTTCCCAATTAAAGAACATAAAAAATCTTAACAAATAATGAAATTCACTGCAATCTCTATAGAAAAGGACTTCTCTCCTCTTCCCTTACTATCATACATTTTTCTATGTCCAAAGAGCGGCAAGAAACAGGCCCAGAAATATGGTTAGTACCAGAATAGTGACTTGGTTTTTTTTTTTTTTTAGCTCAGAATGTAGTCTACTTGCACAAGCAATCACTATCAAATATATTTATGAGTAAATGATAGAAATGGTATGATTTTTAAGAAGCTTAAACTACATAACATTAATACCATCATAAATAATAAGCAAGATACTGGTGATCCCATTTACCTGTTAACATGCTTTCATTTACAATGCAAGTACCATTAATAAGTACTGCATCACAAGGCATGACTGTCCCATTTAATGGAATGATCATGACATCTCCAGGCACAAGGTCTGTAGAAAAGATTTCTTCTATTTCTGAATTTGAAAAAAAAAAAAAAAAAGAAGAAGAAATTTAAGAAATTTAATTTGGAATAGAATTACAGCAAATAAACGACCTATCCAAAAGTCTCCTGCTCTCAGTAAGCTACTGATACAGTGTGTTAATACCTAAAGTGTAGCACATGAAGTCTCAACAAACATTAGTAATGCATCAAGACTGGAGAGATGATGACTCAGGGGTTAAGACACTTTTGCCAAGACACCTGAATACAATTCCCAGCACCCACATGAAGGATTACAACAATCTGTAACTCCAGTTCTAGAGACACTGACAGCTTCTCCTGGCCTCCATAGACACCAGGCATCAAAATATGTCAGTTGACTTGTCTCCTAACAACATGCTGACTAAGCACGGGTGATACAACATCCTCATCACACCTCCATGCTCTGGTCAATCTGCCATCTTAAAATACAAGCAAAAGTCCACACAGGAAATTTGGCTGTAACAGGCAAAATGAATTCAGATTTCTAATATTACACAGCAACTAAAGAAAACATGAAAAATTTACTGTATTTTCTTTTCAAAGATTTTTTTAATGCAATTATTTATGTCTTGCCTCTTCTCAATGTTTCAGTCTCTTAAATTATTAAAAAATATATCAAGAAGAATTATTAAATATATAATAACACTTAATTCATTATTCCCTTGAAAATTTAAATCAGGCATTGAAATCCCAGCATTTGGAAGGCTGAAAAGCAAGATCATGAATTTGAAGCCAGCCTGGCAAGAAGACCCTCTCTCAGGTCTCTGTACATGTAGACTTAAAAACCTTCAAAAGCTGGGTGTGGTGGCTTTTCACTGAAAAAGTTCCAAAACTATTGTGCCGCCTTGCAGTTCTAGAGCTTGTAGCAGCAAGAGCAGAATTTCAAGATCATCTCCTCCGGTACATAACAAGGTCTAGGCCAACCTGTGCTGCTATAATATAGAAACAAAAAACACACAAAACTACTTTAAAAGAATCCTACCAAAAATAGGAAGGCAGCGAGTGAGGGAGATTCTAGAGACAGAAGTGACCAGGAAGAAAGCAAGGAAGGAAGACTGCATGACTTGGAGACAGTCAAGAAAATGGAGCCTTTCGAAGGTAAAGCTCATACCTGTAATCCCATCTACTTAGGGGGCCAGTGTTGCTAATTTAGCAATCCTAACTCAAAAGAAAGAGGGAGGGGCCTGGGGGAGAGAAATGTGGAGAAAAAAAAAAAGACTGATTTTGAATTCTGGAGAAATGAAAGTGGCTACTGCCTCCAAAGACCATGGCGTTATGCTATCCTTCACTTCAACATCTCAGACAGCTTATATGTCCCAAGCATTCTCCCCACAATCACTGTTTCCTTTTTACTTTGTCCCATGTAACAACACTACCCAACTGCATACATCTCTTGAGACTTCACTTTCAATGATCACATCTTGTTCAAGGCCCACATTTCAAACCCATATCCTTTCTTGTTAACTCCGCAGCCCTGTTCTTGATCTGGGTGATGCCTTTAGTATTGTTCCTGAAAAACCACTCTAAACATGGGAGCCAGAATTAATGTTTTTCCTGAAAGACGAACAGGATGAAATCTGCTTGAAGTCATCTGGTAGCTTTTCAGCCTTTGGAGGCATCCAAATCCCTTAGAACCCTTCATCTACTTTCAGCACGTGACTTGCTGAATTCCAGATCTTAGAAGAATACAGTCTTAACTTCAGGCCTCTGGGTACTCCTCTCCTCCTCATCTTAGACTCCTCACCAATTTTCTTTTCCTCGTTTTTTTGAGACAGGGCTTCTCTGTAGCTTTGGAGTCTGTCCTGGAACTAGCTCTTGCAGACCAGGCTGGCCTTGAACTCAGAGATCCACTTGTTTCTACCTCCTGAGTGCTGGGATTAAAGGCATGTGCACCACATGGCTGGGTCCTCACCTGTCTTTAATTTGGCTTTCTTTGACTTTAAAAAACCCACCCTGAGTACCTAAGAGCACAGTAGTCTAGTGTTAAGAAATCCCTGCTTTCATAGTACTCACCACACTTTGTTGTTTATCATGTCCTAGAGCTTAGCAAAGAGCCTCTACATTGTACAATGTTATATAAAGGAACGAACTGTCCACAGATCTGGGAATCTAAATGTGTATTTTCAATTCTGAAGAAGGAAGAGAGGAAGGGAGAAGAAGAAATAATAGGGCTGGAGAAGTGGAAAAGAGTAAAGGTGCTTGCCACCAAGCCTAATGACCTTAGTTTAATTCCAGGACCCACATGGGAGAAAGAACAGGGAGTGTCATGGGTTGTCTTCTGATCTCCATACATGCCACTGTACATACATACAATTAAATAAATAAATGAAATTTTAAAATATGTATAAACACATAAAAATGGTCTTACTTTACACAAGTATTTAATTACATGTTGTGTGTTCATTTACTCTTTCAACCCTCCTCTAATGTACTTACCTTCATTTACTCTACAAACTGAAACTCTCACGGTACTGTGAGTTGCCACCATATCATGTAACATAACATATTGCTGAAAGAAAAAAAGAAATAAACAATATACAAATCTGTTCCTCGAGATAAATAAAAGAAAGCTCAATTACTGTGATCATTTTTTACTATTCTGCCTATATAAAAGGTCAAAACTCATGGGATAGGGAGATGACTCCATGGCTACTTGCTTGCTACTTCTGGTGGCTTGAATGAAATGGCCCCCACAGGTCCACACAGGGGCACTATTGGGAGGTGTGGCCTTTGGGGTTTCAAATGCTCAAGCCATACCCAGTGTCACTCTCTCCTCCTGTTGCCTGTTGGTCCAGATGTAGAACTCTCAGCTACCTCTCTATTACTATGCCTGCCTACATACCACCGTGCTTCCTGCCATGACAATGAACTAGACTGCTTAACTGTAAGTCAGCCCCAACTAAATGTTTTCCTTTTTAAGAGTTGCCGTGGTCATGGTGTGTCTTCACAGCAATAGAAACCCTAACGAAGACACTACTCAAGTTCAGTTCTGAGCACCCATGTGAAAGCTAAATGGGCATGGCAGCCTGCCTATAATTTCAGCACTCAAAAGGCAAAGACAGAGGATTCCTAGAGTAACCTGGCTAGCTGAACCTAGTTCAGTAAGTGAGCTCTGGGTTCAACTGAAGCCATGCTTCAATGAGTAGGGCAGAAAACAATCCAAGAAGATACCCAGGATCAAAATGAGTCCACCAGGCACAACTGCACTCACTTACATGTAAACATATCCATGCACATACCCAAGTTAGAAATTCAAGAATTACTGTTTTAGCTCAAAGATACACTTCAAATGAGGCAGTCTTGAAAACATAGGAATTATCTTGTCAACACTTCAATCTTTAATAAGCAAATATAGACACCCATAGCTTCTAAGTGATCATGTGATAATTTGATTCTAAGAACCATTTAAGAGTGTAGCTTTGTGAGCATATGCAGTCTTAAATTCAAACTCAAGTACCACAAAAACAAAGTATTTGATTCTCCCCTCTGACCTAAAGGAAAGAGAAAAAAAAAAGGAAAAAAAGTTAGGGCTGAAGAGATGGCTCAATGATTGATTAAGAGCTCAACCAACTCTTATAGAAGACCCAGGTTTATTCACAGCACCCACACAGTGGCTCACAATCATCTATAACTCTAGTCCCAGAGGATCCAATAATCTCCTCGGGCCTTTGCAGGCATCAGACACTTGAGGTGCACTGACATAAATGAAGACAAAAGAACAGTACGTACACACACACACACAAATATGTCCAAGACCAAGCGTAAAGTATAAAGACTGGTTAAAGGCTACCCTAGTTACCGAAAGGGTCTGCAAGAAGCCCATAAAAGACCACCAGTTACGTATGCAATAAGCAAGAACGTTTATATATAAAAAACTGCGAACATTTTGGGGTAGCACATAGCAACCACCCAAGAGGTTCGCAGGCCTTTTTTTTATGACAGATTAGGGGAATTCCAGGGAGGAGAAATTAATCTGGGGGTGCTGATTGTACTGTAGGTGGCTCTAGTGGTTAGGGACATTTTAGCAGCAGGGTAGAGAAAGCTATCTTTAGCTATAAAGAAGCTGTGGTCCTGGATGGAGGTGGTGGACCTTGGACTTCCCACAGGGCAGGGAACCCTGACTGCTCTTTGGGCTGACGAGGGAGGGGGACTTGTTTGGGGGAGGGGGAGGGAAAGGGGAGGCGGCGGTGGGGAAGAGACAGAAATCTTTAATAAATAAATAAATAAATAAATAAATTAAAAAAAAAGAAGCTATGGTCATGTGCTAAGCCAACAAAAGGCTGTGGAGCACCTGCTAATTGGTTGCCCCTGAGTTGTAGTTTTCTGGAGAATTCCTTGCTCAGCTCCAGTCACCTTCAGTAAATCAAAACACGTCCCTGCCGGGGACTATTAGAAACCTGTCGTGGCTTTGGTCTGGCTCCCTGGCCCTCTCAGCTATCTTGTCTAAATGAACAAACAAACAAACAAAAAAAGGAAGTTTGTATGTGTACTTATGGAAATATTACGTTAAATGTATTCTATACCAAGTACTATGCATTCTAAAAAAACTTACAAGTTACCATAGAATGCAAATATACTCCTGAAAGATGTAAGAAATTCTGACTTACCTTCCTAATGGAATATAGTGAGCTTATAATGGATACTATGGACATGATCACAATGGCTAGAGCATAATAATAGTATTCATCAATGCTCCACAGGATAACACTGAACAGCTGGAAAATGTAAAATGGGTTGAGAACCTAACAACAACAAAAAAGATACATCAGTAGGCATAAATAGGATATCAATATGTATAAACATGTAGACGCGTCACCTTTTCGCCATTTCATCAGAGATGTAGACAACCAGATACTTATAGAATGGGCTCTGTATTCTTGCTTCCCATTAAATACTAAAAATTGAGTCAATAAGCTTAAATTATTTGCATTCATTTAGATTCATACCAAAAGCAAATACAGATTCAACTAGAAAAAGTTAACCTGTATGAATTTAGCTATTCTGCATTATACTTTTGGTTAAAGCTAATTTATTTGTAATAAATTTTGTGCTCTGGGCTAAAACAAAACTTTTAATCAAACAGAACAAATGTTTGCTTTTAATGAACTCCAAAGAGAAATTTACTTATATTTCAAAAGTTCATTGACAGATAAAGAGAAGATAAATATGTGATAACAGAAACTGCTTTGTTATCTCAAAGGAAACTTCTTGGTATTTATTCTCAAATAAAAGTAAGACTACAAAGCCCTGGTCGTGAACTTTATAAAATGGTATTTCATCTCCCTTAATTCCCTCCCAATGTCTTTTTATAACTGCTGCTTTGTACCTTTCTAAGCACTTTCATGTATGTAGTACCATTTTACTTCAAACCTAAATTGAATATTAAGAAATTATTCCAACTTTATTCATAAACAAGTAGCAGGTAGAAATGTTTTCAAGATAAAAATCAAAGACAGCTACCAATAAGATACTCTCAAAGATCCGCCTGCCTCTGCCTCCCAAGTGCTGGGATTAATGGTGTGCACCACCATCAGGAACTTTTTTCTTTTTGGTCCTACATTTTTCAGTAGTACACTAAACTATTTTGCAAGCTGCATCAAATGGCTACTCATATTTCTAGTAAAGTATCCATCTAAAGCCAAAAACCAGAACAAAAGACTGGCAAGCCTTCCTGGGCTAGGCAAGTTATTCACTAACTTCTTTTACATAGTCATAATCCTTTATTCACACAGTCAAGGCAGTTATAAATGAACCCTCACTACAAGAACTAACACCGTTCCTTTCATTTCCAATACGACACCACATGAAATGAGAAAAGGACCAAAGAGAATGAGAAGCTATATTAGATGTGATAGAAACACACATACACAAAGAAATCTGTAATAAAAATGCAAAATTATATACATTATAAATACTTTTCTACCAGACAAGTTTTCCATCTTAACTTTCCAAGTAAAATATGAAGCAAAGTTAAGCAGAAAACCAAGACTGTGTCCTTACACGTGACTCTCCCCAGTTGATGGGAACACATACTATTAGTTACACAGAGTCTTACCTCTTTAATTAGAAGCTTAAAAACAGAAGGCACTTTCACAGCAATTTCATTTACTCCATAAATCAACTTTCTATGACAGAAAAATACGGTAACTGTATTAGTAAATGATTTAGGAAAAAAATGTTAGATATAAGTAAGGCCAATTGTTCTTATGACTCTTGCTTTTAAAACCTTATGTTCCATGACTAAAGTTCTCTACTTTAAAAAATAAAAAATAACTCCTGTGTAGTTCTGGCACACACCTTTAATCCCAGCATTTGGGAAGCAGGAGGTACACAGGTCTCTGCGGGTTCGAGGCCAGCCTGGTCTACATAGCAAGTTCCAAGACAGCCAGGAACACATAGACCAACCCTGTCTTGAAAACAAAAAACAAAAAAATTTAAAAAGCTATCTATGCTATTTAAACCAAAGCAGTCGATACTGGTAACCAAACTTTTAGCAGTTTACATCATTTTGAGTCTCATTTTTACTATGACAAGAACCTTTCTTGTCATAGTAAATAATCATGTAAGGAAAAGACTCATTTTGTTATGTCTAAGCTGTCCTGAAAATTACTACATAGATCAGGCTGCCTTCAAACTCATGGAAATCCTTCTGTCTCAACTTCCCAAATCCTGAGACTAAAGGTGTAAGCCACGACAACTGACTAAAGTTCTCTTCTTGACAGACAATTTTTTTTTTGAGATTTTCATTTTTATTTCATGTGCATTTTGCCTACCTGTGTCTACGCATCACATGCATGCAATACCTACGGAGGCCAGGGGAGCACATTGGATCCTCTGGAACTGGGATTACAGACAATTAGTTGTAAGCGGCCATGTGGGTGCTAAATCCATGTCCTCTGGGAGAGCAAGTGCTCTTAACCACTGAGACATCTTCTCTAGCCCCCAAACAAAGCAAACTGTATTGAGATTTAAATTACGACTTTTATAAGAAATTACATACTTTTTACTCTACTTTTTTTCCCTAGGGAGAATATTTTACTAACAAAGTTCATTTCAAAACACTGCACCCTTGAAATCCTTCAGAAAAACACTTTCTTAAAGTTGCTTAGTGACAGGGGATGCTGCTGCTCCACTATCAGAGCCGCTGCCATTCATGCATAAGACCCTCGCTTCAATTCCAAAGGACCGCATAAATCAAGCATGGTGTGGTACTTCCTGGGAAGCCCACCACTTGGGAAGCAAATGTAAGACCAGGAGTACAAAGACATCCATCCTTGACTACATACTGAGCGAAGTCAGGCTTAACTATGAGGCCTTGTCATTTTTTTAAAAATAAATAAATAAAAGCCCCCCCCCATAAAATCCAGGGAGGTAGGGGGTGCGTGCCTCAGTGTAGGTTGTAGCTTGAGTAAGGCTGTAAATTCCACCCAATCCCTCATCCCTCTAAAACCCACAGGTTCTTCATTTTAATCTCCTGTAATGATTTGTATGCTATTATAATTATAGCCTTTTATAAAGTGTTAAGTCTGAATTTTTTGTTCAAACATTGAAAAACACATTACAATAAAAATTCCAATTCAATCCAAAAACTACATTTATCTTTAAAATATGTAATACACTGGCATTATTTTTATACTTTAACCAATAACACACAAAAAAAGCATGGCTCCAGTTTATAGTTTCCTGGTGGGAAATCCAAGCTCATGCTTACACTTCCCATATCAGAAAATCTAAGGTGCTGCTAATTTACAGAACACTCCATTATAATATGCGTGACTGAGGATGGCACTCCACACACTAAACAACATTCCAATTTCAGAGACAAGAAATATGAGTTTTGCATCTTAGAATTGATGAAATAATAAAACTTTAGGATAGTTAACTTTAGCTTAATATTCTTATAATTCTTAAACTAAAGGAGTTTTGCTCAAAATATCAGTAAGGGCACAACTAACAGCATGTTTTGCTTAAGTACCTACATTATACGGTACAGAGTTGGCTATATATACACTTCTGAATTTAGGAATTTTGAGAACAGATCTACTTTAGTTGGATAAAGTTACCTGTAGGCATGCATCCCTTTTGTCAGTCCTGCACTATGCTTTTCATAAATTGATGTACAAGAAACACCTTCATCCAGTCCCCTAAATAAATCCAAAGTTTTTACTTTAAACAAAGTTTAAAATATCCATATTAATGCCTCATTTTGCTATATGTGTGATTTTAAAACTGTAACTTCCTTACAAACTTCTTAGAAATTATTAACAACAAAATTAGAAATCATGAGAATTTTAAGATCTCAAAGTCTTAAATAAAACAATGAATTGGCATAAGTCTCAAACACAGCTACGCTATCCACTGTATGTCATGGGTATAAATAATACTATGTAAGTAAATATACATTATCCTTTAACAGTTTTCAAAGGTTATGAGTCAGCAATAAAACTAATAAAGCTTCAGATAAAGTATAACTACTGAGAATTCTAAACAAGACTTGGTTTTTATCCTGTTTCTCCTTTATATTTTTAGTTTTAAATGAAGAATTCCTACTCATTTTCTTCCACAATGCACCAATATAAATACTTTCCTGAACTACTACTACATATCTTGTTTCAAATATATAGACCATAAATGTCTAAGACCTAGAACAATCCTAACTAGGATGTTTTTCCCCAAAAAAACATAATTTTACTTATTTTAACTGTTACCAGTCAAACATTTCTAAACCAAGAGAATTAAACATATTAATCTCCTTATTCTCTACATTTTACATACAGGGAAGCTAAGCTCTACAATTTGTTGATGTCATTAGGGTAAGTTTAAATTTTACAAATTTCAATGGCTGGCAGAGGCCAAACAATTATATTAGACATTCTTCCCATCAGAGCTGATGACTTCTCCAGAATGCAATTCAAAGACAGACTAGCAGTTCAGTGTTTAACAAGACTGCAGGACATTGGATCTGACATCAGCATTTTTCCTTAAAGTGATGGTTCTTCAACTTTAGAACCAGGCATGAGAAAACCATCAGGCCCATTACAGAACAATCTAATTCTTTAGTATTTCAGGTAAAATTTCCAGGTATTATCTTAAATATTCTTGATCCTTTTTTTATACACACAAAACAAAATAAAGGATTATTCCAATTTTTCCTATCAAAAGGAACACAGTTGCAAGTGCTCTTTCTCATTAGTAAAGTTTTCTAAATAAGTATTCCATGATTCTCTGATTACAAATGAACAAGACTAATAACATAGGAAAGGTAAAGCTCTAGGGTTGGGGAGAGGGGCTCGGTGGTACAGTCACTCACTGCTTATTAGCATGTGTGAGTTCCAGATTCAATCCTAAGCCCAGTGCACACTCAAAACAAAGTAAAATAAAATAACAAGAAAACACAAGTAGAAAACCTAAGCTGTGAGGTATTCTAAAATTCTTCACGCCCCTCAGCCTCCCCGACAGCTAGCATCACAAGCATGTTCCATAGGGAAGCACGAGCTTTCTAAATTTTATGTAAATTTTTCAAAGGTACAAGTTGCAGGTGAAACTCACTTTATAAGTGAATAAAGGTAATAGAATAAGTCTCTCTGAATTTATGTAACATTAGAATACAGCTTTTTTAAATGCATTTTCAAGATGCTCATAATATATTCTAAGCAAAAGAAAAATACTTACTTTAAGAAATCAAAATTGTGAATGGTATCATTCCAGAAATATTTTATGCTATGGTGGGTGAAATAACGCATCTGTAGAACACACATAAATATTACATCAGAAGGCTTATCATCACTTCTCATAACATGTCATTTTTTTCTATTAAACTTAGTTTTATTTAATGGCAAATATTTTACAATGCATCTAATTTTAGCTCACGTATAATTTTGCAAATTATGATCTACCTTTGATAATGTAGAACATTATGGTTTTTCAAAAAAGCTTTGATACTCCATCACAGTACCTGTTGGGACTGAGTCTGTGAGTATTTATTCATCTCGCATCTATTTTCTTCAGTCAGATTCTCAGTTAAATGAACAGCATGGCCATTAGAAACCTTATTAACTACAGATTTTGCATTAAAATTTGGTTGATTTTCCAGAGGAAGAAAGCGAATTTTTGCACAAAACCACATTCTAAATTCATCCTTAGAAGAAAGGGAGAAAGGTTAAAAGTTATGCACATTAAATAACAGCCTGTACTTTATGTAAAGTCTATTACTTAAAAATTTAGTCATCTCTTGCTGAGAGAGTATCATTTCCTACTCACCCATGAAAAATTTATGATCAACTTTAGCACACCATCAGTACACAGATTCCATAAAAGTTCACAATTCAAGCCTTAATTTACTCACATATATAATAAACTAACTATTACAGCCTCTTATAAATGTTTTACTAGGGTTCTTAAAAAAAATTGTTTAAGACATAACATCATATAGTCAAACCTGGCCTAGTCAATGAGTGGTCAGTACTCAGGACCTTAAAAGACAATTAAGCATCTAATAATCCCCCGGGTCACAAAGAACTATAAGATAGCCTCATCCTATTTAAAACTTTTTAGCCTTATCACCACAAAAATATTCATTTCAAAGTCATACCTGAGAAATACTAAACATTCCAAAGTCCCAGTCACTTATTCTGAACAGTTTACACAAAGACATTATTGAATAATCAACCAGCTACTAGTAATACATGCATGGACTTACAGTAGTCCTGAGCAGCACCACTTCACAGTCTTTAACTGCAGCTCTAACGCATGTGGCTTTCACTCGCCACTCAGGCATCCAATAGAGGAGGAGGAGGAGAAAACCACCAGTACAAATCACTCCTATGGAAACCATGGCAAGCTTCCAGTGGCATAAGTTATAGCCATGTATCTCCTGAACAAAAATGGCAATCACATGATTAATGAGCAGATGATAAGAGATAAACTTATTTCCAAGATACGTATTTTTATATAAATTTTATTTTCTCAACTGATTATCTGTTATTTTCAGTAAAACTTACTGAAAATTTCAGATTTAAGAGTAAAATTTGTTGAGCATGATCTATATTTATGTCTAATAAATTATTTGCTACTAATTCAACTGTGTGTGTATGATTAATGAGAAAATAAGGCAGATAAACTTGTTTCAAAGATACATAGCAAATCATATATATTTTATGTGTAGGAATGTTTTGCCCATGTGACTGTAAACCATGTGTGTGCAGTGCCCTCGGACCAGAAGGGGCTCTGGATGCCCCCTGGAAGTGGCATTACAAAAAGTCTCCATGTGAATACAGAGAATCTAACCTGGGGTCCTCTAGAAGACTAGCCAGTGCTCTCAACCACCAAACAAGCTCTTCAGTCCCATTCCTTGTAACTTTTATCATTTCATTTAAAACTTTTTTAAAAAGTTTTTGTTTTGCAACCATTTCTGACTTACAGAAAACTGTAAAAATATCAGTATTTCTTCTAGATCCTTCAAGCCAGTTTCCTCTGTCAAAACTACAGTGCTCCATTACTGTCAACTACACTCGGTATCAGGATTTCACTTCTTTTTTACTTCCGTCATATTTTATGACACTACATTCACTGACTAATTGAGACAAGGATCTCAGATTGTTGAGAAGGCTCAGACATTAAAGTGCTGGCCATGACACAGGGCCTCACACTGATAAGTGATGCACCCAAGGCTGGCCTCCAACTTATGATCCTCCTGCCTCTGTGCCCTGCATCCAGGATTACAAAGCATGTATTACTATGCCAGGCACATTACATTTAGATGATTTTTTTAAAAGTAACTTGCTGTTTCAATACCACTGTGACTGATCAACTTTACTAACCCAAATCATTTTTAAATATTCTTGAATTCCCACCCACAATGGTTGCCAAATAAAACACCTCAAACTGACAAAGGCTTCATGAAGTATACATGTCAAGTAAGTAGTGGAAATTTGTTTATCTGATGGCAGCGAGATATACTAAAACTTATTCCTTAACATGGTGGTGATACATGCCTATAATCTCAGCACTTGGGAGACTAACTCAGGAGAGGTTACTTGGGGAGCTCGCAAGATGTATCAGAACAAATGTTCTTGCCATGCATGCCTGCTGACTTGAACTCCTGAAAGTCATCTTCTGACCTCCACCACATGCACCCCACGGCACACACGTACTTAATGTACACACAAAAATGATAAAGCATACATTTTTAAAATTTTAAAAATAAACAAGTCAGGTGGCAGCGGCACATCCCTTTAACCCCAGGACTTGGGAGGCAGAGGCAGGTGGATCTCTGACGCTGCCTGGTCTACCGTGAGTTCCAGGACAGTCAGGGCTACATAGAGAAACCCTGTCTCATAAAACAAAAACAAATAATAATAAACAGCAACAAAAACAACCACTTCAATTAAAACACTCAAGTCAAACCAGGCCTTTGATCCGTGGACTTGAAAGGCACATGCAGGTAGAACTCATGAGACTGAAACTGGCCTGGTCTATGGAGTTAAATTTCAGTTCAACCAGGGCTTCATGGTGACTTTGCCTAAAACAAACAAAATATGCGTGCAGAAGCGCACACACACACACACACACACACACACACACACACACACACCCTAAATCAGGATACAAAAATTCATATGCATGTGTCATGGACAGGCATTTCACTAGGGATCAAACCAAGAGCCTCAGAACATTAGATGTACAAACACTCTACCACTAGGTTGTACCCCAACCCATGTTGGTTTTTCTTTCATTTTACCTTTTTACTCCTTAGGAAATTATGAAAGATAGTTACCATTTCATCTTCTTGACCCTTGTTGATAGTCTTCCTTTCTTCTTTGTCCATTTCTACAGAGGCCTGATCGGTGCTGTGCTTCACACAACAGGTGAAGATAACTGCAAGAACAAAAGACACAAATGTTGCCTTTCTTTAAAAACAGATCTTGGCTGCCCACCACAACTAGATGGTAAAACCCCACTGCTGATGACACCACACACTGAGAAAGCAAGTTAGAACTCAGT